GATTCCTTTGCTTAACAAGGTAACTTGGTTGCATGGGATGGGTTTATATATTTTGTTTATGTTTTCAGTTCTAGTATATAAAGACTCATATTGGATCTTAATCTGTTTGGCAAGTTTATTGATAAGTTTGGAAGGAAATCCATTATCACGTGCTAGTTTATTAATGTAGTTAAATTCAGAAATGAAATCGCTTTGGGAAAGAGGGTATTGGAAGGCTCTGTTAATTAAATATCGAAAATTTGCTTGTTTATGGGATAAAGGATGGGTAGAGTCATAAGGGATGGTTGTAGGAACTGTAGTGGATTTCCTGTATATATTATATGCAATGTTTTCCGAAGAAGTATTAAGAGAGAGGTCAAGGAAGTTAAGGTTATTGTTTTCCTCTATTTAAATGAACCCATCCCTTACAACCAAGTATGTACTATTAAGCTATGTTGCATTTAATATGATTGAATTGTATATATCTACAAGTGAATTGGGTTACATTAGGAGAAAACAAAGTACTTCCTCGGGAGAAAATATTTAAGTAGGATACAGATTCAAGAAAACCGCAAACATGTCACCCGCATGTTTTACAATAACTAACAAGGGAAGTGTCACAACTGTGTCTCACCGATTTCGATAAAATTTGGTACAGTCATAGAATAAGGTTCGCTCATTTTTTTATATGTGCGGTAAAAGCCCCTGGGGCGAGTTATAGGGGTTAAAAGTTTGCAGATCATCAAGTCTATCAAAATTTCGTAAATTGTAGCTGATATTCATTTCAAAAGAGCTTTCTTTTGATGTATTACACATATACCAGAGGGTTAAAAGGGGCGAACTACCCCTATTTTTTCGGGTTGGCGTTTCGAGTGCATTCAAAAATATTAGTTAAGTGTTTTTTCTCATTCATTGTAGATCAATCCTAGCGATGTTACGAGGGTTAACATGTAACTAGTTTTCGTAAGAATGGTGTGATAAAACTGTCAGGTATTTTGAAAATACTTTAAACAAAACCGTAAATTAGTCGCACAATAAAATGTTTAGTGTAAAATGAGGCATAATATACCATTTAGGGCTGGTTGGGGTTAACCACCCCCTTAAAAAAATTTTAGCAAAAGATTTCGTTAAAGAGGCAAAGCTACAAATCCAAATATATGGATCTGAAAACACCTACAATTTGGATCAGAGCGATTTTAACTTGGAATTCCATTCGGGAAGAACATTAAGCGATTTAGGAGTTAAAACCGTAGAAAAGATGGTCCAGTCGGTGTCATCTACAACGCACAGTTACACAATTCAACCCGTAATATCTGCTGATGAGAAACTTCTTTCTCCACTTTTTATTGTTTTAAAAGAAACCTCTGGCAGCTTTAGACCGAGGGTAGCAATTACAATGTTTAAGGCAGACAATATATACGTTTTGGCATCAAAATCTGGAAAGATAAGTTCAGAATACATGAAAAATTGGTTACAAAATGTATATTTTCCAAATACTGGTTCTAAATCATTATTATTATTAGATTCTTGGAGTGGCCATTGTCCTGAAGTTATTAGTGAAATAACTCCATCAGATACCAATTTTTAACAATTTCTTGAAACATTTTATTAGAAGATTTTCTGATCAGATTATTCTTTACCAGTATGATGTCAATTTACATCAGAGGGATAATATATTACAATTGCAATCCGTAACGCATATATACTGGTTATAACCAGTTGTCTTCCCCTCGGTTTATAAATGTTTTTAAATACGCATGGTTTGCAAGTGGCTATATAAATATAATTTACGGTTTTGTTTAAAGCATTTTCAAAATACCTGACAGTTTTATCATATCATTCTTACGAAAAGTAGTTGCTTGTTAACCCTCGTAACATCGCTAGGGTTGAGCTATGATGAATGAGAAAAATCACTAACTAATATTTTTGAATGCATTACAATTATATTTAGTCATCAAAATTGATAGGGTGGTTTTTAAATAAACCCGAAAAAATAGGGGTAGTTCGCCCCTTTTAACCCTCTGGTATATATGTGATACATCAAAAAAAAGCTCTTTTAAAATGAATATCAGGTACAATTTACGAAATTTTGATAGCACTTTTCGTTTTCAAAATATAAGTGAAAACGATATTTTTCTCCGAACTTTCAAGCCCTATAACTCGCCCCAGGGGCTTTTACCCCACGTATAAAAAAATGTGCGAACCTTATTTTGGCCCATTCTATGACTGTACCAAATTTCATCGAGATCGGTAAGTTGGTTCGGTAAATCCTTGTAAGTTGAAGGAAAGCAGTCTCCTCATACCTTCATTGTCGGCGTCTGGCGTTTATCAGGTGTCAATTGAAGCGAGCGGAGATATATTTAATAACATCAAGAATATGATTTAGGTTGGGTACTAAAGATTCAATATTTAACAATTTACCATCCAAGCGAACTACCCCAAATCAACTCGCTACAATGTAAATCATGATAAAATCTAGCCAATTTAACCCTAAAGCAACCCAACCATAAAGTGACCAAGTGCAAAATTTAAATCAATATAAACCTAAAGCAAGTCAAGCACAAAGTAAGTCAGTCGGGTCATAAAATTACTCAAATATAAGCTAACAGAAATACAAATCAAGTTTATATGTCTCAGTACCAAAGCAAGCCAATCAAATCTCAAATCAACTCAACCCAAAAGAAATTGAAGACCACATTAAGGAAAACTTAAAACTCTAAAGAAAACCAATTCAATCCTAACGGAATCCATTTCCAGGGCAACACATTCACAAAGTAATCCAAATCCACAGCAAAAAAAAGTAAGCCAACTTAACCCCAAAGCAATCTCAACAAGCAATTTCTGCCATATAGTAAGCGTACCCAAAACTACTCAACCCAATTATAAAGCAACTCATGCAAAAAGCAATCCAACCCGAAAGCAAGTCAACCCCACCACAAAGTAACCCTAAGCCAAAGCTCCTCAAGTACAAAGTGATCGATCTTCAAACCAAGCCAAGTCAACCCCTACGTACTGCAACTTCAGAGCATCTCTACTACAAAGTTACTCAACTTCAAAACAAGCTAACCTAATTTCAAAGGAATCAAAATCAAAAGCTACTATGCTACGAAACAACTCATCCACAAAGTTACCTAACCATAAAACATATCATTCCCGCCATAAAGCAACCCAAAACCAAGTTACTCAATCAAAATGAAACCCCACTCCAAACCAACCCAACCTAATTTCAAAGCAACCTAAACCCAAAGCTACTCAACCACAAAGTAAACCAATTCCAAAGCAAGCCAACTCAACCTCAAACAATCCCAACTCCAGAACATCTCTATCACAAAATAACTCAACTCCAAAACAAGCCAATTAAATCTTAAAACATCTTAACCACAAAGCAACCCAAAGTATAAGCTTCTCAAGCACAAAATAATCCAAGATAAAGGTACTCAACTCCAAAACAAGATAAACCAAAAAGGAAGCTAACCTAACTCTTTATTAACCCAAAGCCAAAGAAACTCAACCAAAAAAATGATTCATTGTCAAAGTAATCAATAAGGGAGCAACTTTTTTTTACTTGCTGTATCATTATCGACGAAATTTTGTGGTCGGTTGTAGCTATATTCAATCCAACCTAACCTCAATAAACTCAGCCATAATCTAACCCAACTTCGTAGAAAGACAACGTCATCTCAAAGCAACTCAACCACAAACTTAGAAATAATGCTAAATCTAGAAACTTCCGGGTTATATCGCGCGTCGATTAAAACATTGTTTGATGTTTCGATGTCGTGTTGAAACCTTTAAAACTTTTGAACTTGTGTCTTAAGAATCATTAATACTTTAATAGACGCATGGCATAACCCGGAAGTTTCTGGATTTAGTTTTACTTGTAATAATACAGGCCGTGAAAGCCTACGATCTTATATTCAAAGTTAATACATAAGTAATCCAACATCAAAGCAAACCAATTCAATTCCGTAATCTATTATCTTGCTCAAACTACCTCAAGCAATGCATTTTTAAACAAAGAGCAAGTCGTCGTAATCTTTGTAATTCAAGATACGTGATTGCGATGGGTTGATTTCATAATCCGAAAAAGTCACAAAGTAAGTTATATTAAATTTAACTGTACAGGAATAAAATTTTTTTTTTGGCAAAATATGAATTAAAATAAAGTTTATGTACCATCATATTGATCCATTATTATTGTTGATTATTGCTTCATATCAGGTGAATGAACTAAAGATTTTTTCCATTTTAATCTCAAACGCGGAAAAGAAAAGTGGAATCAATAAATACATCAAATATTACTTCTTGTGCAATTATTTAATAACTTTAACGTTATTTGTAGTGGCATTTGTTCAAAGAATTAAACTCTAAACTACGATAAGCGGAACAACACCTCATAAATTTTCCACGAATTAATTAACAAGAGAGCATATTATGGTACCTGCATGGAACTGTTGGTTTAGTACTTTGAGTGACAAGCTGATTTATCTGGTTACCAACGTCACCCTTTTAACATTAATTGCATCATTAAAATTTATATATGACATTTACCTGGTTTTTTTACCTCTTCAATTATAAATTAAACTATTAAATGTAATTTAATTTTCGTCATGTAAATACCCTTTTTATGTAGAATAAAGAAATAAAACAAATTTGTTTTTATTTTCACATATTTTTTATTTAACTTAAGTAAGGGGGAATTCATTTAGCTATAAAAGGCACTAAGAACAGGGTTTGATACTTATCCGATATCGATAACTGATTAACATACTGGTTCAGTGCTGATTTTTTTTTCGACCTTAGGTCGTAATAAACAATCGATATTAAAAGTTGGTGCACGTATACAGTCGGTACGATATAAGTATGTTTTTTTTTTTAAAGAGACGTTACGACGGCGTATCGGTACGACAAAAAAGTATAAAAAACCTTATACAAAGAGATCTTAAGTCTACCAGTCTTCGTTCTTCAATTTAGTTATTTATGGAAACTCTTTAAAAGCTTCTCTATTTAAAATTTAAAATTTATCGGTTTAAACCAGACATATACTGCATACTGCAACCGCATGGATTGTTCATGTACATCCTAGGAATGTTCTTTGGAATCCTCTGGGTTGGTAAACCGGACAATCCTTTAACGTAAGTGTAGGTAACTGGTGGTCTTAAGATTTTCTTTGGGACGTTTTTCTTCGACTTCTTTTTTTCTTTTGTGTTATTACAAGATTGCGATCGAACTCCAATCGACAAATTATGGAAGACCTTCCTTATACTTTCCGCGGAAGTCGAATGATGATGTCTATTCTTAATCTGTATTTCTCCATTATCACTGGAACTGCTTGAAAGATGATGTGGAGAAACCGATCTAAATCCAGACTCAGCTGACGACGAACTATTATTTTCCAACTTTCTACTTCTAGAACATCTCGAAACCGACGTCGAAGAACACGAATCGGTACTCGAAGATCGACTGTCGTCTTCGCAAAGATCATCGTGGGATCTTCTAGCTAATTTTCTGCTGATCGCACGGAACAGCCGGATGCCTTTAACTTCTCTCGATGGGGAAGGAGTCATCGGTGAAACACTGCGTTTTTGCACTGGTGTTATGGTAACTAGGTACATTGCGCTATCGGAAATCGTAGACATGATTCGCGAATATTTGCTTGGTCGAGTAAGAGCAGACGAAGCACTGAGCACTGCCGGTGTTTACGATCGCTTTTATAGGGGTAGCAACGTGGGGTAGAAAGCTCGGCGCACGCCCTTCGTTGGCCATTCCACGTGAGCCTACAAGAATTCTTATTTTATTTTGCACCAAATCACCATCCACCAACAAATTCGATTTCCAAAACACGTATTAAACGAAAACAAATCGTAGCTATATTTAAATGTTATAAACTAGTTTATAGGCTTTAGTACAAACATTATTAAACCACCAAGGAGTAGTTTATAGTGCACTTAACCATGAGAAACTTGATTAGCTCTGTTTATTGCGACCTTTAAGGAGATATTAGATTACCACGATGTTGTAATTAGATTTGTATCTAATGTTGCGAATACACGAAAAATTTAATAATTTGAATAAACATATTACTAAAAGGTTTTTTAGCTTAAGAGATTTGAATCAAAACCTAAAAAATGCTGTCAACAACAAAAAATAGTTATCAAGAAAGAATTAACGAAGTAGAAGAATTCCGTTCAACAACTTTGCATTACGTCCGTCGGTTTTTGACATCTAATTTTGAAGAGTCACTTCTGATGTATTTCCAGGAGTTAAGAAACGATGTATATCTTAAATGAATGCTTGAAATATCCTCTTTAAGATTATGTAACACAACCTCTATGTTAATAATGTAGTTTCGGGGGAATACAAATTTGTATTTTTGATGTAATTACCGATTTTTAATGTCTAATTTTGAAGATTCATTTCTCATTTATTTTTAAGAGTTAAGTAATGATTTATATCTTAATTGAAAGCTTGAAATATCTTCTTTAAGACTATGTAACATAACGTATATGTTAATCACCTAATTTCGGAGGAATACAAATTTGAAAATTGTTGTAAAGTGAGCAATTGACGTTTTTTAATGTGTAACTTCGAAGATTCATTTCTTATTTGTTTCTAAGAGTTAAGAAATACTTTATATCTTAAATGAAAGCTTGAAATGTCCTCTTTAAGATAATATAACATAACCTATATGTAAATGATCTAGTTTCGGAGGAATACAAATTTGAAATTTGTTGTAAAGTAAGTAATTGGGCGATTTTAATATCTATCTTTAAAGAATTTGTTCTCATTTATTACTAAGTGTTAAGAAATGATTTGTATCTTAAATGAAAGCTTGAAATGTCCTCTTTAATATAAAGTAACACATTCTATATGTTAATAATATAGTTTAGGAGGAATACAAATTTAAACTTGTTTCAAGTTAAATTAACACTTTTTTTGAACATCTAATTTTAAAAAATCATATCTCATTATTTTCTGAGAGTTAACAAACCATTTTTATCTTAAATGAAAGCTTAAAATGTCCTCTTTAAGATAAAGTATCACAACCTATATGTTAATAAAATGGTTTCGGAGAAATGAAAATTTTAAATTTGCTCTAAATCAAATTGAGATCTTTTTTGCATATCTAACTTTGAAAATTCATTTCTCATTTATATCTAGGAGTTAAGAAATAACTTATATCTTAAATAAAAGCTTGAAATGTCCTCTTTGAGATAAAGTAATACAACCTGTATGTTAATAATACAATTTTAGAGGCATACAAATTTAAAACTTGTTCCAATTAAATGAACGCTTTTTTGAATTTCTAATTTTGAAAAATCACATTTCATTTATTTTTGAGAGTTAAGAAACAATTTAAATTTTAAATGAAAGCTTAAAATTTCATCTTTAAGATAAGGTAATATAACCTACTTGTTACTAAATGATTTATGAGAAATAACAAATTTGAAATTTATTGCAAATTAATTTGATGCATTTTTTTAAATATCTAAATTTAAAGAATCATTTCTCACTTATTTTTAAGAGTTAAGAAACGATTTTTATCTTAAATGGAAGCTTGAAATGTCCTCTTTAAGATTGTATAACATAAACTATATGTTAATAATCTAGTTTCGGAGGAATACAAATTTGAAATTTGTTGTAAAGTGAGTAATTGGGCGTTTTTAATATCTATCTTTAAAGAATCTGTTCTCATTTATTACTAAGTGTTAAGAAATGATTTGTATCTTAAATGAAAGCTTAAAATGTCCTCTTTAAGATAAAGTAACACATTCTATATGTTAATAATATAGTTTCGGAGGAATACAAATTTAAACTTGTTTTAAGTTAAATTAACACTTTTTTTGAACATCTAATTTTAAAAAATCATATCTCATTATTTTCTGAGAGTTAACAAACCATTTTTATCTTAAATGAAAGCTTAAAATATCCTCTTTAAGATAAAGTATTACAACCTATATGTTAATAAAATGGTTTCGGAGATATGAAAATTTTAAATTTGCTCTAAATCAAATTGAGACCTTTTTTGCATATCTAACTTTGAAAATTTATTTCTCATTTATATCTAGGAGTTAAGAAATAACTTATATCTTAAATAAAAGCTTAAAATGTCCTCTTTAAAATACATGAAGTAATACAACCTGTATGTTAATAATACAATTTCGGAGGCATACAAATTAAAAAACTTGTTCCAATTAAATGGACGATTTTTTGAATTTCTAATTTTGAAAAATCACATTTCATTTATTTCTAAGAGTTAAGAAACAATTTAAATTTGAAATGAAAGCTTAAAATGTCCTCTTTAAGATAAGGTAATATAACCTACTTCTTACTAAATGATTTATGAGAAATAACAAATTTGAAATTTGTTGCAAACTAATTTGATGCATTTTTTTAGTTATCTAAATTTAAAGATTCATTTCTCATTTATTTTTAAGAGTTAAGAAACGATTTTTATCTTAAATGAAAGCTTGAAATGTCCTCTTTAAGATTATGTAACATAACCTATATGTTAATAATCTAGTTTCGGAGGAATACAAATTTGAAATTTGTTGTAAAGTAAGTAATTGGGCGATTTTAATATCTATCTTTAAAGAATCTGTTCTCATTTATTACTAAGTGTTAAGAAATGGTTTGTATCTTAAACGAAAGCTTGAAATGTCCTCTTTAATATAAAATAACACATCCTGTATGTTAATAATATAGTTTCGGAGGAATACAAATTTAAACTTGTTTCAAGTTAAATTAACACTTTTTTTGAACATCTAACTTTAAAAAATCATGTCTCATTAATTTCTGAGAGTTAACAAACCATTTTTATCTTATATGAAAGCTTAAAATCTCCTCTTTAAGATAAAGTATCACACCCTATATGTTAACAAAAAGGTTTCGGAGAAATGAAAATTTTAAATTTGCTCTAAATCAAATTGACATACTTGACATACGTATAGGAAACCAACAATTAACGTGCAAAGATTCAGTTAAAAGTTTGGGAATAATTATTGATGAGAATCTAACTTTCAATGAATATATTAATAAAAAGATCCGGGCGGCATACTGTCAATTAAAATCCATTTATAACGCGCGTCATTTCCTAACCGGTAGCAGTAAACGTTTACTTTGTGAGAGCCTGGTGTTATCGGGTTTTAACTATGGGGACATGTTGTACTCCTCTTTTATATCTAAACGTATAGCTCAAAAAATACAAAAAGTACAAAATTCATGTCTGCGACTAATTTTTGGTATAAGGCGACGAGAGCACATTAGCCACAAGTTGATTGAAATAAGCTGGTTAAATATGATCAACCGCAGAAAATTACATTGCGCAACAGCTTATTTCAATATTATAACGACAGGTCGACCACCCTACCTTCGCCGGAAGATACGGTACAGGACGGACGTGCACACCCTCAATATTAGGTTTAAGGGAACTCTCACACCACCCATTCACAAACGTCAATTTTTTAAAAAATGCTATTCTTACCAAATTTCAAAACTGGTTAACGAGATTTCTGGATCTGTAGGACTGTGCACGTCCGTTGCATTACTTAAACGTCGATATAGGGCAGCCTTGTTTTCGGCTCAATGCACCTTTCAGGGTTACCGATGATGTTAATACCTCAGCTCTGCCGTNAAAAATCATATCTCATTAATTTCTGAGAGTTAACAAACCATTTTTATCTTAAATGAAAGCTTAAAATGTCCTCTTTAAGATAAAGTATCGCAACCTATATGTTAATAAAATGGTTTCGGAGATATGAAAATTTTAAATTTGCTCTAAATCAAATTCAGACCTTTTCTGCATATCTAACTTTGAAAATTCATTTCTCATTTATACCTAGGAGTTAAGAAATAACTTATATCTTAAATAAAAGCTTGAAATGCCCTCTTTAAGATAAAGTAATACAACTTGTATGTTAATAATACAATTTCGGAGGCATACAAACTTAAAACTTGTTTCAATTAAATGGACTCCTTTTTGATATCTAAATTTAAAGATTCATTTCTCATTTATTTTTAAGAATTAGGAAACGATTTTTTTCTTAAATGAAAGCTTGAAATGTCCTCTTTAAGATTATATAATATAACCTATATGTTAATAATCTAGTTTCGAAGGAATACAAATTTTAAATTTTGAAGACTGACTTCTCATATATTTCCAAGAGTTAAAAAATGATTTATATCTTAAACGACAGCTTGAAATGTCCTCTTCAAGACATAGTAATATGTTGGTAATATAGTTTGGGAGGAATACAAATTTGAAATTTATTGTAAAGTAAATTGATGCAATTTAAATGTTTATCTTTGAAATATCGCTTCTCATTTATTGCTAAGAGTTAAGAAACGATTTATATCTTAAATTAATGTGATATAACTTAATGTTAATAAAATGATTTCGTATACTTCTTTAATTTTCAAGTAGTTTAATATGACTTTATCTTGACCTAAGACAACGCGGACTTCTAAAGTTGTTGATATATTTCGTAGAAATTGTCGACAATCATCCCAAATATCCAATCATCAAGATTACCTATCATAATCGGAGTTGAAAAGTCTTCAGGTTGATGGTGTCCTGAGTAACGTACCGACCTTGCCAAGATAACAAACGTCCTCTAAATTGGTAATTGCGAATGATGGGAGCGGAACCGTAGGGTTCCAATTAAATGGAATTTGCCCCACAGTAAAAGAACCAACGTATATTTGTAGGAATTCCAATTATAATCTTACGACATAATTATTTATACGGCTACAAAAAAATTAAAAGAAAAATTAGAACAAATTCAATTATAAATTCCAAATACATAACAAAAGCATGTTTAATTAATTCACGTACCATAAGTTACGTGTAACCAAAAATTTCGTGTCAGGTGTTAAGTGAAAGTTGGTCATTTTCAAAGACAATACGTAACCTTTCGAATATTTACTGAAAACGTAAACGTCCTTTGTATGAAATTCTCGATTTTGGTAACAACATTTCTTTGTTCTTGCACTCCACAAAATGAATATTAAAAAATTTCAATGAATTATAATCACGTTCCAAAGCTTTCAATCTCTTTGTTTACTAACTTTTTACTTCATTTTTGTTTCTTCATATTTCTTTTTCTAGAAAATAAATGTCTTAATTCCTATTAGACGTAATTTAATTAATATTCAAAGCCATCAAACACACTTACCTAATACATTTATCGTGTCAACATTGGTTTTTTTGAGACGATTTCAATAGCACGTTAACGATAGCATATTTGAAGAGAACACGTCGTTGGCCATTTTAAAACGTCCAGGGTCGTTCGGGACGAGTTTTGAGTTAATCAGCCCTGGTCGAAGTAGTTTGTAAAAATTAGACGAGTTCTCCCACCGATTCAGCAAAAATTTTACTATAAAAACGAAGATATCATCGAACAAAGTCACAGTTTGATTCGAAACCATCAAATCACAACAAAGATGTTCAAAGCTGTAAGTTTATCATTACTTTTTTAATATATTTTTAATGTTTTAATTTTATTTAGATCGTATTCGCTGCTATCTTGGCTTTCGCCGTAGCTGCTCCAGAACCTAAGCCTAAACCAGGACTTTTTGCACCAGCCGTCGTCAGCCCAGTTGTTTCAGCCTACAGTGCTCCTTATGTTGCTTCTTATCCCTCTTATTCATCACCACTCGTTTCGGCTTATTCTCCGTATGCCTATGCTGCTTATCCCTATGCTTATGATTATCCCTATTATTATTAAATAATAAGTATATTTGGAAATTGGAAATACTAAATTAACTTTTCTTTGGACTGCTTGGATAAAAAAAATGTGGATTTCAATAAAACTTATTTAATTTATTAAAGTGTTTTTTTATAATACCCTAGAAAAAAATTTGAACAAAAAATTATATCATTAAGTCGCTTTATCTTAAAGTGGACATTTCAAGCTTTCATTTAAGATAAAAATCGTTTCTTAATTCTTAGAAATAAATGAGAAATGAATCTTTAAATTTAGATATCTAAAAAGTGCATCAAATTAATTTGCAACAAATTTCAAATTTGTTATTTCTCATAAATCATTTAGTAATAAGTAGGTTATATTAGCTTATATTAAAGAGGACATTTTAAGCTTTTATTTAAAATTTAAATTGTTTCTTAACTCTCAAAAATAAATGAAATGTGATTTTTCAAAATTAGANTATTAAAGTGTTTTTTTATAAGAACCTAGAAAAAAATTTGAACAAAAAATTATATCATTAAGTCGCTTTATCTTAAAGTGGACATTTCAAGCTTTGGTTTAAGATAAAAATCGTTTCTTAATTTTTAGAAATAAATGAGAAATGAATCTTTAAATTTAGATATCTAAAAAAATGCATCAAATTAATTTGCAACAAATTTAAAATTTCTTATTTCTCAGAAATCATTTAGTAACAAATGGGTTATATTACTTTATCTTAAAGAGGAGATTTTAAGCTTTAATTTAAAATTTAAATTGTTTCTTAACTCTCAGAAATAAATGAGACGTATAAATAAAAGCGTCCATTTAATTGGAACAAGTTTTAAACTTGTATGCCTCCGAAGTTGTATTATTAACATACAGATTGTATTACTTTATCTTAAAGAGGACATTTCAAGTTTTTATTTAAGATATAAGTTATTTCTTAACTCCTAGATATAAATGAGAAATGAATTTTCAAAGTTAGATATACAAAAAAGATCTCGATTTGGTTTAGAGCAAATTTAAAATTTTCATTTCTCCGAAACCATTTTATTAACATATAGGTTGTGATACTTTATCTTAAAGAGGACATTTTAAGCTTTAATTTAAGATAAAAATGGTTTGTTAATTCTCAGAAATTAATGAGATGTGATTTTTTAAAGTTAGATGTTCAAAAAAAGTGTTAATTTAACTTGAAACAAGTTTAAATTTGTATTCCTCCGAAACTATATTATTAACATACAGGATGTGTTATTTTATATTAAAGAGGACATTTCAAGCTTTCATTTAAGATACAAATCATTTCTTAACACTTAGTAATAAATGAGAAGAGATTCTTTAAAGATAGATATTAAAAACGCCCAATTACTTACTTTACGACATACTTCAAATTTGTATTCCTCCGAAACTAGATTATTAACATATATGTTATGTTACATAATCTTAAAGAAGACATTTCAAGCTTTCATTTAAGATAAAAATCGTTTCTTAATTCTTAGAAATAAATGAGAAATGAATCTTTAAATTTAGATATCTAAAAAAATCCATCAAATTAATTTGCAACAAATTTCAAATTTGTTATTTCTCATAAATCATTGAGTAACAAATAGGTTATATTACTTTATCTTAAAGAGGACATTTTAAGCTTTCATTTCAAATTCAAATTGTTTCTTAACTCTCAGAAATAAATGAAATGTGATTTTTTAAAATTAGAAATTCAAAAAAGTGTCCATTTAATTGAAATAAATTTTAAATTTGTATGCCTCCGAAATTGTATTATTAACATATAGATTGTATTACTTTATCTTAAAGAGGACATTTCAAGCTTTTATTTAAGATATAAGTTATTTCTTAACTCCTAGATATAAATGAAAAATGAATTTTCAAAGTTAGATATGCAAAAAAGATCTCGATTTGGTTTAGAGCAAATTTCAAATTTTCATTTTTCCGAAACCATTTTATTAACATATAGGTTGTGATACTTTATCTCTAAGAGCACATTTTAAGCTTTCATTTAGGATAAAAATGGTTTGTTAACTCTCAGAAATTAATGAGATGTGATTTTTTAAAGTTAGATGTTCAAAAAATGCGTTAATTTAACTTGAAACAAGTTTAAATTTGTATTCCTCCGCAACTATATTATTAACATACAGGATGTGTTACTTTATATTAAAGAGGACATTTCAAGCTTTCATTTAAGATACAAATCTAGTAATAAATGAGAACAGATTCTTTAAAGATAGATATTAAAAACGCCCAATTTAATTGAAACAAATTTTAAATTTGTATGCCTCCGAAATTGTATTATTAACATATAGGTTATATTACTTTATCTTAAAGAGGATATTTCAAGCTTTTATTTAAGATATAAGTTATTTCTTAACTCCTAGATATAACTGAGAAATGAATTTTCAAAGTTAGATATGCAAAAAAGATCTCAATTTGATTTAGAACAAATTTAAACTTTTCATTTCTCCGAAACCATTTTATTAACATATAGGTTGTGATACTTTATCTTAAAGAGGACATTTTAAGCTTTCATTTAAGATAAAAATGGTTTGTTAACTCTCAGAAATTAATGAGATTGATTTTTTAAAGTTAGATGTTCAAAAAATGCGTTAATTTAACTTGAAACAAGTTTAAATTTGTATTCCTCCGAAACTATATTATTAACATACAGGATGTGTTACTTTATATTAAAGAGGACATTTCAAGCTTTCATTTAAGATACAAATCATTTCTTAACACTTAGTAATAAATGAGAACAGATTCTTTAAAGATAGATATTAAAAACGCCCAATTACTTACTTTACAACAAATTTCAAATTTGTATTCCTCCGAAACTAGATTATTAACATATAGGTTATGTTACATAATCTTAAAGAGGACATTTCAAGCTTTCATTTAAAATAAAAATCGTTTCTTAATTCTTAAAAATAAATGAGAAATGAATCTTTAAATTTAGATATCTAAAAAGATGCATCAACTTAATTTGCAACAAACTTCAAATTTGTTATTTCTCATAAATCATTTAGTAACAAGTAGGTTATATTAGCTTATATTAAAGAGGACATTTTAAGCTTTCATTTAAAATTTAAATTGTTTCTTAACTCTCAAAAATAAATGAAATGTGATTTTTCAAAATTAGATATTCAAAAAAGCGTCCATTTAATTGAAACAAGTTTTAAATTTGTATGCCTCCGAAATTGTATTATTAACATATAGGTTGTATTACTTTATCTTAAAGAGGACATTTCAAGCTCTTATTTGAGATATAAGTTATTTCTTAACTCCTAGATATAAATGAGAAATGAATCTTCAAAGTTAGATATGCAAAAAAGATATCAATCTGATTTAGGGCAAATTTAAAATTTTCATTTCTCCGAAACCATTGTATTAACATATAGGTTGTGATACTTTATCTTAAAGAGAACATTTTAAGCTTTCATTTAAGATAAAAATGGTTTGTTAACTCTCAGAAATTAATGAGATCTGATTTTTTAAAGTTAGATGTTCAAAAAAAGTGTTAATTTAACTTGAAACAAGTTTAAATTTGTATTCCTCCGAAACTATATTATTAACATACAGGATGTGTTATTTATATTAAAGAGGACATTTCAAGCTTTCATTTAAGATACAAATCATTTCTTAACACTTAGTAATAAATGAGAACAGATTCTTTAAAGATAGATATTAAAAACGCCCAATTACTTACTTTACAACAAATTTTAAATTTGTATGCCTCCGAAATTGTATTATTAACATATAGATTGTATTACTTTATCTTAAAGAGGACATTTCAAGCTTTTATTTAAGATAATAATCGTTTCTTAATTCTTAGAAATAAATGAGAAATGAATCTTTAAATTTAGATATCTAAAAAATGCATCAAATTAATTTGCAACAAATTTCAAATTTGTTATTTCTCATAAATCATTTAGTAACTAGTAGGTTATATTACCTTATCTTAAAGAGGACATTTTAAGCTTTCATTTAAAATTTAAATTGTTTCTTAACTCTCAAAAATAAATGAAATGTGATTTTTTAAAATTAGAAATTCAAAAAAGCGTCCATTTAATTGGAACAAGTTTTAAATTTGTATGCCTCCGAAATTGTATTATTAACNTCTCGAGATATGATTTTTTAAATTTTGTTCTTAAACTCTATGTCAATGAAATGTACAGAGTTGGGTTTAACAAATTATAACATTGGTGTTTATGGATAATAAGAAATTATTTATGGCACAATAAATTTCTATTAGTATTTTTTCAAAATATTTTCTATTTCATCATTACAGGTTAATACGTTTAAAAATGCAGGATTAGATTTAAAAATTCATAACAAATGTGATTATGGAAAGTAAGAAATTATTTATGGCACATTAAATCTATATTAAATTTGCTTTAAAATCTTATATATTTTATCATTATATCTCGATTCGTTTGTGAGATACGATCTTTTAAACTTTGTTCTTAAAATTTATATTAATCAAATGAAGAGTTGTGTTTAAAAAGTTATAAAATCGCTGTTTATGGATATTAAGAAATTATTTATGGCACACTAAATCTTTATTAAATTTGCTTTAAAATGATCGTTATTTCATCACTATATCTCTATTCGTTTTTGAGATACGATCTTTTAAACTTTGTGCTTAAAATTTATATTAATAAAATGAAGAGTTGTGTTTAAAAAGTCATAACATCGATNTTCAAGCTTTCATTTAAGATACAAATCATTTCTTAACACTTAGTAATAAATGAGAACAGATTCTTTAAAGATAGATATTAAAAACGCCCAATTGCTTACTTTATAACAAATTTGTATTTCTCTGAAAGTAGACCATTAACATATAGGTTATACTACATAATCTTAAAGAGGACATTTCAATCTTTCATTTAGATATAAATTAATTCTTAACTCTTAGAAACAAATAAAAAAGGAATCTTTGAAGTTAGCCATTAAAAAACGATAATTACTCCCTTTACAACAAATTTCAAATTTGTATTTCTCCGAAACTAGATCATTAACATATAGGTTATATTACATAATCTTAAAGAGGACATTTCAAGCTTTCATTTAATATATAAGTTATTTCTTAATTCTTAGAAACAAATGAGAAATGAATTTTCGAAGTTAGACATTATAAAACGACAATTACTCACTTTACAACAAATTTCAAATTTGTATTCCTCCGAAACTAGATCATTAACATATAGGTTATATTACATAATCTTAAAGAGGACATTTCAAGCTTTCATTTAATATATAAATTATTTCTTAACTCTTAGAAANCCTTTTATGTATGTAAAGACGGATTTACAAAATGGAAAAAAAACTTACCACCGAAACATGAAAGAACAATATCTGAAAACTTAGTCAAACATTTTCCTAGCCCTACAACCGCCACTAAAAATCTAAAAATTGAAATAGATATTTGGAGATATTTTTTCAATGAAGGTATGATGAAGATAATTGTTGATTGCACAAATCAATACATAGGTCGTACCAAATCAAATTTTGCGCGTGAAAGGGATGCTGACTATACAAATATTTATGAAATTGAGGCGTTGTTAGGCTTGATATACATGGCTGGAGTTTTGAAAGGAAGTAGGTTGAATGCTAGAGAATTATTCAGCACTCAGGGATACGGAATGGAAATATTTCGCCTGACAATGTCGATAAATAGGTTTTTGTTTCTTTTGCGTACTCTCCGCTTCGACAATACTGAAACACGTGAGCAACGAAAAGAAATTGATAGATTAGCACCAATTCGAGTTATTTTTGACAATTTTATCGTAAACTGTAGAAGTGCTTACAGCCCTTTTCATTATGTAACCATAGATGAAATGTTGGAAGGGTTTCGAGGACGCCGTGCGTTCAAACAGTATATACCTAGTAAGCCAAATAAGTATGGCATCAAAATTTACGCATTAGTGGACGCTAAATGCTATTTTACATGCAATTTAGAAGTGTACGTTGGTAAGCAACCAAATGGACCTTATGCTGTTAACAACTCTGCTAGCGCTGTTGTACAAAGATTGTGCGAACCAATAAAAGAATCTGGTAGAAATGTTACTACCGATAATTGGTTCACTAGTTTAGAATTATTGGAGGCATTAAATCAAAATAAACTCACGTTGTTGGCAACAATACGTAAAAATAGGAAAGGGTTGCCAAAAGAATTTACCCAACCACCGAAATCTAGACCTGTAATGTCCAGACTGTTCGGATTTCGCGAAAATGCTACTTTAGTATCATACAAACCAAAAAAAAATAAAAATGTTTTACTAATTTCAAGTGGACATCATGACGACAGCATTGCAGAAAAATCTCATAAACCAAATATGATCCTCGATTATAATAACACTAAAGGCGGTGTTGATACTGTCCATAAATTGTGCGCATCTTACAATTGTGCAAGAAATACACGAAAATTGCCAATGGTGGTTTTTTATGCAACATTAAATATTGCTGGAATTAATAGTATGGTTATCTATAAATTTAACAATCCAACAGTAACCCAACCGAGAAGAAAATTTCTACAACATTTATCAATGGCGCTAATTGATGGTCATCTTCGACAGCGAGCTCAGCTGCACTGTCATCCGAAGCAAATGTCATCCAGAATTAGAGAAATTGTAGGATATGAGGAGCCATTACAAGGAGCTGCACCACCACCGAACGACGAAGATATTCCAAAGCGAGGTCGTTGTGCATATTGCGACAAAAGAAAAAACCGCCCAACTAGATATCACTGTAAGAATTGCAAAACATTTATGTGCTTGGCTCATTGCACGGTTGTTTGTACAGAATGTTACAATAAAGATGAAATTATGTAAATATATTTTGATTTGAAAGTAAAAAAAGAATTTTATTTAAATTTTTAATTAGCGCCATCTTCCAACTGGTGGCCACTACTACTATTTGATTGCGGTCTCATAGTCCGGCGCGTGTAGTCTTGTGTATATTAAAAGGCGCGTGTACTGGAAGGTTAAGCTATGATGCATTTTATGTGGGACAGTCGAAGTTTCATAATTATGGTTACTACATTCATATATTGCGAGCTATATATGAAATTCCCTAAATATATTTACAAACAAATATACAACGTCAACAAATTTAGCTGGATTTTACCAATATAAACAACTTAATCGCAAGATTCCATTTGGTTTGTTACATCTTTGATATGGTAATGTACAAGTTGTTCGTTAACGATTATATCAGCGCATTGAGAAAGCAAACCGCGGTAAACAACCCCAGGAAGCAATTCAAAAGGGTTTCGAACTGCGATGTCATCGGGTACCTAAAGCTTGTTACGGAAGTCCTTTGACTTTTGCACCCTTCCAGTTATGTTCATCGGGGCCTGTAATTGTCGGGAAATCGAAAACCGCATTTTCTAATCGCCACAGCTCAACGCGGAAAGAAATTAAAATTGAAGGGGTAAGATCGCACGTGCGCTCATCGCATTATTAACTTTTCGTTTTTGCTTTCACACTTTCGTTTATTTCCTCTTGAGAAATCCCACAAGCTTCGTTAAGTTAGCAATTTCGTTAACTTAATCTATCTGGTTTTATGAAGGATTTGAATTAACAATTTCAGATGTAGACACGTCGTAAAGTGTCCTGTCGTAACTTGTAGAGGTCACGAGGGCGATCGTGTTTTCAGATAGTTTCTAGTTTGTTGGTCAAACATATCGTAAATCGAAATTGTGTACTTAATACTTTTGGATTGATTAACATTATCTTTTTTTTTTATTCGAAACACGTCGCCGTTTGGTTTACATTTTCGCCGGTTGAACTTGGACTATTTTAGATATGGTAACAATCGACCTTTTCGTTTCTTTTTTTTCGACTCCCACTTTTTGTCACATAAAAAACTTCTCCTGTAATTTGGTAAGTATAAATACTGACATCAAAGCTAATGCTTGCATAGTTTATTCAACTAGCTAACAACAAACAAATCAAAATGTTTAAAGTTGTAAGATTTTCGTAAACATTTCTTAATTTTATTTAATTTTAAATTTAATATTTTTTACAGATTGTATTCGCCGCCTTTTTGGCTTTAGCCGTTGCTGTCCCTGAACCCAAACCAAAACCTGGACTTGTAGCTGCCGCTTACACCGCACCAGTTGTTGGAGCTCCTTTGGCTTATTCTGCTCCGGTTGTATCTGCTGCTTATTCAGCTCCAGTCGTCTCTGCTTATAGTACTTATGGATACACTGCTCCTTATGCTGCCCCAGTTGTTTCTACTTATCATGGAGTAGCTCCTGGTGTTGCTGCTGCTTATACTGCACCTGTTGTTGTAGGCTAAACTATTTCCTGAAATGATTAATGAATAAATGATGATGATCCAAAAAAATTCTTTTCTTTAACAAACTGTTATATGTTCTTTGAACTTGACCATTACGATATGGCTTCAAAAGGCAGGGTTGGGTTTAAAAAATCATAACAACCTTGTTTATGAGAAATAAGAAATAATTTATGGTACACTACATCTTTATTAAATATGCTTTGAAATGTTTCTTATTTCATCATGATATCTCAATTCGTTCTTGAGATTCGATTTCTTTAATTTCTATTCCTCACATTTGTAACAATTACAAGTGCGGAGTTGTGTAAAAAAGTTCATAGCAACAATAATTAGGGAAGTTAAGAAATTATTTATGGCACACTAAATCTTTATTAAATTTGCTTTAAAATGATCGTTATTTCATCATTATATCTCTATTCGTTGGATATTAACCACTCATCGGTGGATATTAAGAAATTATTTATGGCACATTAAATCTATATTAAATTTGCTTTAAAATGTTATATATTTCATCATTATATCTCAATTAGTTTTTGAGATACGATCTTTTAAACTTTGTTCTTAAAATTTATATTAATCAAATTAAGAGTTGTGTTTAAAAAGTCATACCATCNTCCTCCGAAACTAGATCATTAACATATAGGTTATATTACATAATCTTAAAGAGGACATTTCAAGCTTTCATTTAATATATAAATTATTTCTTAACTCTTAGAAATAAATGAGAAATGAATCTTCGAAGTTACATATTAAAAAACGACAATTACTCACTTTACAACAAATTTCAAATTTGTATTCCTCCGAGACTGTATTATTAACATGTAGGTTATAACACTTTATTTTAAAGAGGACATTTCAAGCTTTAATTTAAGATATAATTCGTTTCTTAACTCAACGTAATTGAGGTATCTCGTTGAATAAGTGGAGGACTACTATCTTTTAGCATAACGACACCATTTACTTATAAATATTATAATTTGTTGGGATTGATGTAATTTACCCGATAAAAACATTAAAAAAAATATTTTTTCACAATTAAATTGTTTATTTTATTCGTAATTAAGTGTAATTGCCAAATCGTCACAAAATTAATTAAGCTACAACCACGGAATGTCCATAAGTTGGAACTGCGCCATATGTAGATACAACTGGAGCTCTGTAAGCAGATACAACTGGAGATGGGTATGCAGATACAACTGGAGATGAGTATGCAGATACAACGGGGGATGAATAAGCAGAAACAACGGGGGCTGTGTAATATGGGGTTCCAACAACTCCAGCAGTGTAAGATGTTGCAATTACTCCTGGTTTTGGTTTTGGTTCTGGAGCAGCAACGGCTAAGGCCAAAATGGCAGCAAATACAATCTAAACAACCAAAATAAATAAATAATTTAAAAAGAAATTAATCTTGTTACTTACAGCTTTGAACATTTTGATGGTTTTGTTGTAGTCTAGTTCTGTAAACTATGATTTAACAAGTTTTGATTCGCCTATTTATACTGGTAGTTAATTTTTTTTAAAAAAGGAGGGGCAACTAAAATTAAAGGTCAAGATTACGTGTTAATGTTTTAAATCTTTTTGCCCAGAGAATCGAATTTGGTAATAGTTTATTTTGATCGTCTTGCCTAATATTGATTACAACTTCGATATTTTTGAATGAAAGTGTTCGAGCACGAGGATTACAACGAATAAGAGGAAGTAAATATTTATATCTAGTTTCATGTTGAATCCAATTAAACTTTGAATTTAGTTTGTTCAGGAAACAAAACTTAACCGAACTAATCTCTAAAGCTATTGTACGCACGTGTCCAGCTGAAGTTTCAATTGATATAACTTTTTCAACAATACCTTGTCAACTCAACCCGTATCTAAAGAGAGAAAATACATCACTGTCTACAAGGAAATGAGAAAAACGAAAATAATGCTAAAACAATTTGTTGTCGTCCAACGGGATGAATGTATAATTAAATAGCAGGGAAATTCATCGAAAGTTGGATGGCCCTTAATGCAGAAGACGTTAGCGAGGAAAAAAAACTGATTGCATTCGCGTGTCGGGAAATTTTTCCTACAACTGGGGTCAAAATCCTCCAAGTTCTTTCACTAAACTTTTATTTTTATACTCGAAAAGGAAATACATCCGATGAGACGTTATTGGCATCCTATATTATAATTACTTTTCGCAATATCACATTAAGAATCGAATTGGATGCGTTTCAACGTTGACGCGACGACCCCTTTGAGTTCAAAGGTTTCTATTTCATTCAAGAGGTAAAATCGGTGATGCAATACTATTTGAGGTTGTTCGCTCAATTTAATAGTAATTAGCTATTGAAGACATTCACACCTTTGTGTTGAAAGTCCTTTGTTGTCTTCTTGTGCGGTCCGAACAGGAAGCTGTATCGATGGTGGGCGATAACCGAAAAAAATATAAAAAGACTTTGTGGACCTTGGCAATTGAGACGACAGTCAAGGTGAAGAGCAATCGAGCCCCGGCGAACCAGTTTAACAATATTAAACCAGAAACAAAGTAGCCAACGCCTAAGAGAAAGAAAAAATAAACTTTTTCTGCGATCTCGTTTGACTGGATTTATAATTTTGTATAATTTAACAAGATTTAATAAGATTAAAACGGATCTAAATTTATTTTTTGTTATAAAAGAAAATTAATTCCATTAGTTAGTAACCCAAATACGCACAACACACGAACTAAAAAAAATCCAGTACCTACATAAATTTCCTTTTATATTTTATTATTAAAGGTAACGTTGAAAGTTTTTCTTTGTACCAAAAAAAAAACCTTTAATACTTAAAATAAAATAAAAATGAAAAAAACGGTGTAATAAACGACACATAAAAATATAACATCAAGAAACTAAACCAGATTTTGTCAACATAAACAACTTAATCGCTAAATAGCTTGATAAGTTTAAAAATGCAGGATTAGATTTAAAAATTCATAACAAATGTGATTATGGAAAGTAAGAAATTATTTATGGCACATTAAATCTATATTAAATTTGCTTTAAAATGTTAAATATTTCATCATTATATCTCGATTCTTTTGTGAGATACGATCTTTTAAACTTTGTTCTTAAAATTTATATTAATCAAATGAAGAGTTGTGATTAAAAAGTTATAAAATCGGTGTTTATGGATATTAAGAAATTATTTATGGCACACTAAATCTTTATTCAATTTGCTTTAAAATGTTCGTTATTTCATCATTATATGTCAATTCATTCTTGAGATATGACTTTTTAACTTTGTTCTTAAAATTTATATTTATCAAATGAAGATTTGTGTTTAAAAAGTCATAACATCGATGTTTATGGATATTAAGAAATTATTTATGGCACACTAAATCTTTATTAAATTAGCTTTAAAATGTTCGTTATTTCATCATTTTAGCTCAATTCATTCTTGAGATATGATTTTTTAAATTTTGTTCTTAAACTCTATGTCATTCAAATGTACAGAGTTGGGTTTAAAAAATTATAACATCGGTGTTTATGGACAATAAGAAATTATTTATGGCACATAAATCTATATTAAATTTGCTTTAAAATGATCGTTATTTCATCATTATATCTCTATTCGTTTCTGAGATACGATCTTTTAAACGTTATTCTTAAAATTTGTATTTATCAAATGAAGATTTGTGTTTAAAAAGTCATAATATCGATGTTTATGGATATTAAGAAATTATTTATGGCACACTAAATCTTTATTAAATTTGCTTTAAAATGATCGTTATTTTATTTCTTGAGATATGATTTTTTAAATTTTGTTCTTAAACTCTATGTCATTCAAATGTACAGAGTTGGGTTTAAAAAATCATAACATTGGTGGTTATAGATATTAAGAAATTATTTATGGCACACTAAATCTCTATTAAATTTTCTTGAAATTGTTTTCTATTTCATCACTATATGTCTATTCGTTTTTGAGATACGACCTTTTAAACTTTGTTCTTAAAATTTATATTAATAAAATGAAGAGTTGTGTTTAAAAAGTCATAACATCGATGATTATGGATAATAAGAAATTATTTATGGCACTATATCTTTATAAAATTTGCTTTAAAATGATCGTTATTTCATCATTATATCTCAATTCATTCTTGAGATATGAGTTTTTAAATTTTGCTCTTAAAATCTGTCATTCAAATGTACAGGGTTGGGTTGAAAAAATCATAACATCGGTGTTTATGGATAATAAGAAATTATTTATGGCACAATAAATCTTTATTAACTTCTTTTCAAAATGCTCGTTGTTTCATGGTGATATCTTATTTAGTTCTGGAGATATAACTTTTTAATTTTTGTGTTTATAAAAATAATAATCAAACATGCAGTTTTTAAAAAAATAATTGCAACCATGTTTATGGAAAGTAAGGAATGATGTATGGCACATCAAATTTCCTTTAATAGGTTTGTAATTTCATCATTATGTTTCAATTCGTTCTTAAGATACAATTTTTTAAATTTCTATCTTTTAAATCTGTAACAATCACAAATGCAGAGTTGGGTTTAATAAATCATAACAACCATATTTAAATGTCAAGTATCATTCAGACCACATCCAAGACATGAAAATGAATTCGTAAAATAAAATAAAGTAAAATTGGGGTTGTTAAAATCTTTGCTTACGAAAAATAAAATTATTAATGTTATATTGTGTCATCATTTATTTGTTAACCATCCAAAATAAGAAAATAAATTTAAGCTACAACAAGAGGTGCAGTATAAGCAGCAGCAACAGCTGGAGCTACACCATGATAAGTAGAAACGTAAGGAGATGTATATCCATAAGTGCTATAAGCAGATACAATCGGAGCTGAATATGCAGATACGACTGGAGCGGAATAAGCCAATGGAGCTCCAACAACTGGTGCGGTGTAGGCGGCAGCTACAAGTCCAGGTTTTGGTTTTGGTTCTGGAGCAGCAACAGCCAAAGCCAAGATGGCAGCGAATACAATCTAGAAAGCACAAAAAACTTTAAAATTAAATTTTAATTAATTTTATTTTAGACTTACAGCTTTGAACATTTTGTGTTTGTTTATTGTTTGCTACTTGAGTAAACTATGCTTTGTTTCGATTCGATTTCGATATTTATACCAAGACAAGGTGTAGCAAACGATGATTTTTTGTGATAAGTGGGGTAAGAAGTAAAGGTCGAGAATACGAATTAGGATGTAAATTCGTTTCAAGTTCAAACCGTCGATTTAATAAAGTCGTGGGACGAATAGAAATGTTATATCGTTGCATAAGATTACGTTGAATTTGTTGCAAAATGACGAAAGTTTCGCTTTTTTCCCCGTTTTCTTTGTATCGTGTAATCACATAAAGTTTAAAGAGAGTTTGCGGTAATCTTTAAAGTAGGATAGAAGGCATCCGTTCAGGGGGTTAGTGCTGTCCCGGTTTCGGGTAGCTTTTGGGGCGTTGCCAAAACTTTTCGAGCTTTCAGCTTTCGGTTCAACAAACCCTCGTCCGAATCGGGGGTAGTTCATCGACCTCGTTGCGCTTTGGGCGCGTCAGGATGCAGGGTGCATCCAGGATTCGGCCCGACCCATCCTGGCGCACTGCGGTTTTACATTAGGAATTCACAGGATAACGTGCCTTGACATCAGTCTTCGTTCACGTAATAAGATCGTCGAAAGATGACCTCTTTTTATCTTTTTCAAACCGTATATTACAAATTAATAAAAAATAATAGGTCAGTAAAACCTCGTTACAAAGGACTTGAGATATAACGAACAAAATTTTATTAAGTCACAAAAACTCGGAGTATTTTCCGAGGTATATAGAGGATGATAAACCCATTACACATATAATAAAGTACATACCTTTAGCTTGAAAATGATGTAGCAATCATGAGTCTAGTTATATTTATTCGAAAGATATCGGAAGTTTTATATCACGATGTTTTTTATAAATTTTTTGTTTTTAACCTAAACTTAATCAAATAGAAAACGTTTCCGTAATAAACCAATAAATTTAGAATAATAATTCATAAAAATAAAATAAAGTACACACTTTTAGCTTGAAAATAATATATCATATATGCTTCTAAACATATGTGTTCATGATATATCGGAAATTCTATATTATGAGGTTTCTTGAATATTATTGTTTGTACTTAATTAACTTGAGATATTTTTGCTACTGAACCAATAAATTTAGAACAATAATTTATAAAAAAGAAATAAAGTACACACTTTTAGCTTGAAAATGATATATCATATATGATTCTAGCGATATTTATTAGTGAGATGCTGGAACTTAATATCAAGATGATATGAGATTTTTATTTCTAACCTAAACTTGAGAATTTTTTCCCTAATGAGCCAATAAATTTAGAGCAATAATTTATAAAAATAAAATGAAGTACGCACTTTTAGCTTGAAAATGATATATCATATATGATTCTAGACATATATGTTCATGAGATATGGGAAATGTTATATCATGACGTTTTTTGAAAATTATTGCTTTTAACTTATACTTAATCAATTTAAAATATTTTTGCCTAATAAACCAATAATTTTAGAACAATAATTCATAAAAATAAAATAAAGTAGGCACTTTTAGCTTGAAAATGGTGTATCAGATATGATTCTAGACATATGTGTTCATGAGATATGGGAAATGTTATATCATGACGTTTTTTGAAAATTATTGTTTTTAACTTATACTTAATCAATTTAAAATATTTTTGCCTAATAAACCAATGATTTTAGAACAATAATTTATAAAAATAAAATAAAGTGCACACTTTAAGCTTGAAAATGATATATCATATATGATTCTAGCGATTTCTGTTCGTGAGATATCGAAATTTAATATCAAGACTTTTTTGAAAATTTGTTGTTTTTAACCTAAACTTGAGAACTTTTGTCTAATGAATCCACAAATTTAAAACAATAATTTATAAAAATGAAACAAAGTACCGACTTTTAGCTTAAAAGTGATGTATCATATATCATTCTAGACATTTGTGTTCATGAGATATGGGAAATGTTATATCATGACGTTTTTTGAAAATTATTGTTTTTAACTTAATCAACTTAAAATATTTTTGTCTAATAAACCAATAATTTTAGAACAATAATTTATAAAAATAAAATAAAGTACACACCTTAAGCTTGAAAATGATATATCATATATGATTCTAGCGATATTTGTTCGTGAGATATCGAAATTTAATATCAACACGCTTTTTGAAAATGTGTTGTTTTTAACGTAAACTTGAGAACTTTTCTCTAATGAACCGACAAATTTAGAACAACAATTTATAAAAATAAAATAAAGTAGGCACTTTTAGCTTGAAAATGATGTATCATATTTGATTCTAGACATATGTGTTCATGAGATATGGGCTATGTTATATCATGACGTTTTTTGAAAATTTTTGTTTTTAACTTATACTTAATCAACTTAAAATATGTTTGTTTACTAAACCAATAATTTTAGAACAATAATTTAGAAAAATAAAATAAAGTACACACTTTGAGCTTGAAAATGATATATCATATATGATTCTAGCGATATCTGTTCGTGAGATATCGAAATTTAATATCAAGAGTTTTTTGAAAATTTGTTGTTTTTAATCTAAAATTGAGAACTTTTCTCTAATGAACCGACGAATTTAGAACAACAATTTATAAAAATAAAATAAAGTAGGCACTTTTAGCTTGAAAATGATGTATCATATATGATTCTAGACATATGTGTTCATGAGATATGGGAAATGTTATATCATGACGTTTTTTGAAAATTATTGTTTTTAACTTATACTTAATCAACTTAAAATATGTTTGTTTAATAAACCAATAATTTTAGAACAATAATTCATAAAAATAAAATAAAGTACACACTTTAAGTTTGAAAATGATATATCATGTATGATTCTAGCGATATTTATTCGTGAGATATCGAAATTTAATATCAAGACGTTTTTTGAAAATTTGTTGTTTTTAACCTAAACTTGAGAACTTTTGTCTAATGAACCGACAAATTTAGAACAAAAATTTATAAAAATAAAATAAAGTAGGCACTTTTGGCTTGAAAATGATGTATCATATATGATTCTAGACATATGTGTTCATGAGATATGGGAAATGTTATATCATAACGTTTTTTGAAATTTTTGTTTTTAACTTATACTTAATCAACTTAAAATATTTTTGTTTAATAAACCAATAATTTTAGAACAATAATTTATAAAAATAAAATAAAGTACACACTTTTAGCTTAAAAATGATATATCATATATGATTCTAGCGATATCTGTTCGTGAGATATCGAAATTTAATATCAAGACTTTTTTGAAAATTTGTTGTTTTTAACCTAAACTTGAGAACTTTTCTCCAATGAACCGACACATTTAGAACAACAATTTATAAAAATAAAATAAAGTAGGCACTTTTAGCTTGAAAATGATGTATCATATATGATTCTAGACATATGTGTTCATGAGATATGGGAAATGTTATATCATGACGTTTTTTGAAAATTATTGTTTTTAACTTATACTTAATCAACTTAAAATATGTTTGTTTAATAAACCAATAATTTTAGAACAATAATTTGTAAAAATGAAATAAAGTACACACTTTAAGCTTGAAAATGATATATCATGTATGATTCTAGCGATATTTGTTCGTGAGATATCGAAATTTAATATCAAAACGTTTTTTGAAAATTTGTTGTTTTTAACCTAAACTTGAGAACTTTTGTCTAATGAATCCACAAATTTAGAACAATAATTTATAAAAACGAAATAAAGTACCCACTTTTAGCTTAAAAGTGATGTATCATATATCATTCTAGACATTTGTGTTCATGAGATATGGGAAATGTTATATCATGACGTTTTTTGAAAATTATTGTTTTTAACTTAATCAACTTAAAATATTTTTGTCTAATAAACCAATAACTTTACAACAATAAATTATAAAAATAAAATAAAGTACACACTTTAAGCTTGAAAATGATATATCATATATGATTCTAGCGATATTTGTTCGTGAGATATCGAAATTTAATATCAAGACGTTTTTTGAAGAATTTGTTGTTTTTAACTTAAACTTGACAACTTTTCTCCAATGAACCGACAAATTTAGAACAACAATTTATAAAAATAAAATAAAGTACGCACTTTTAGCTTGAAAATGATGTATCATATATGATTCTAGGCATATGTGTTCATGAGATATGGGAAATGTTATATCATGACGTTTTTTGAAAATTATTCTTTTTAACTTATACTTAATCAACTTAAAATATTTTTGCCTAATAAACCAATAATTTTAGAACAATAATTTATAAAAATAAAATAAAGTACACACTTTAAGCTTTAAAATGATGTATCATATATAATTCTAGCGATATTTGTTCGTGAGATATCGAAACTTAATATCTATATATGATGTTTTTTAAAAATTATTGTTTTTAACTTATATTTAATCAATTTAAGATACTTTTGCCTAATAAACCAATAATTTTATAACAATAATTTATAAAAATAAAATAAAGTACACACTTTAAGCTTTAAAATGATATATCATATATGATTCTAGCGATATTTGTTTGTTAGATATCAGAATTTAATATCAAGACATTTTTTAAAAATTTGTTATTTTTAACCTAAACTTGAGAATTTTTCCCTAATGAACCGACAACTTTAGAACAACTGTTTATAAAAATAAAATAAAGTACACACTTATAGCTTAAATATTATATATATCATTAGGTATTAATCCGTTATATCGAGGTTTTACTGTAATAATAAACAAGTAAAAATATATAAACAAGTTTTAATAAGGATTAATAAATTTAAATTAGTATAACTACTTTTCTATTCGGAGCACGTCATTGTTTCGTTTACGTTTTCGCTGGTTGAACTTGAACCAATTTGGTTCCCAGTGACAACCTTTCTTTTTTTTCACTCCCACTTTTTGTTGCATAAAAAACTTTTTCCTCATCAACTTTAGTATAAATATTGAATTTAAATCCAAGAGCTGCATAGTTTACTGAACTAGCAAACAACAAACAAATCAAAATGTTCAAAGTTGTAAGTTAATTCGACAATTTTGATTTGAATCTTAAATACAATATTAACATTTTTGCTTTTTCTTTATAGATTGTATTCGCTGCCTTCTTGGCTTTAGCTGTTGCTGCCCCAGAACCTAAACCAAAACCAGGACTTGTAGCTGCCGCCTACACCGCACCAGTTGTTGGAACTCCTTTGGCTTATTCAGCTCCAGTTGTACCTGCAGCTTATTCAGCTCCAGTCGTCTCTGCTTATAGTGCTTATGGATATACAGCTCCTTATGTTGCTCCTTATGCTGCTCATTATACTGCTCCAGTTGTTTCTTCATATCATGGTGTAGCTCCAGCTGTCGCAGCTTATACTTCACCTGTTGTTGTAGCTTAAACTTATCGATAATTGTTGATGAATAAAATAAAATCAAATTTAATATAAAAATGTTATTTTTTTATGAAAATCAACCGAATGCATAAAAAAGAGATTTTTTATGCCAAATGAGACATCGTTACAAAAAGACTGATTTGCCCCAGCTTGTTAGTGACCCCATTTATTTTCGTAAAACATAGAACCGATTTGTATAAAAAAAATATTCAATTCATACAATTATTTGAAAAAGTCACATGGAAAAATATTTACTGCATTGGGAACGTGGCTATAAAACATTCGGTCACGTTCGTTGCTCGATCCCATGGCACGAGAACGCGATTTCGTTTGAAATATTCTTGTTGGTGGTACTTTTGAGAAACGCATAGCGCAGGTGGCATGGGGGCCACGTTGAGAAAACACGTGCTTTGCCCGTGGAACGATCCGGAAAAGGAAGGAATGAAGGAACCGGGAGTCGCGTTTATAGAAAACAATTCGCGCTCCGAGCGCTTTGTTACTACTACTATAAGGTTTGAAATTTTAGACGGTTTCCAGAACATAAAGGACAAAAATCACTTTCACAATGTACTGTTCAAGGACGTTATCTTATTTCTTTTATTATATTAAATCGTACGTAGAGGAAATTGTTTACTCGTACCTATAAGGTAATAACACGGTTGTTTTTCAAGCACGTTAAACGAAGTTTGCTCCAATTGTGAACTTTACATTGGTCGATAACTGTGAATGTCGTTGACCCCTGACCCTTACCGAGGTCGTAGGCCCGGTCCTCTCTAAAATATTCGCTCTGCACACACCCTATCTATGAAACTGCGGATGCAGCAGGACGTAAATCTTCCGCACTCTTTATCTCTGTTCCGGCGTGCTGGACCACTTTACATGAATAATAATTTTTTGAAATTTTATATACACGAATATTTAAAAATTGAGAATTCTGCTCGAATTTATTATAAAAAAGTTTAAAGATTTTCAGCAAATAAAATGCAAAATTTAATTTAATTCTTGGGAACACAACTGATATCATATTTGATGATTTAGAATTAAATACATTACATACAATTCTTCAAATATAAGGACCTGATCATTAATAACTTCTATGGAAAGCACTTAATTTATGTAGAGCATAGAGTTACAGTAGCATAGATTCAAACTCATTAATTTTCACCTGGGTTATCGGAATTAGTAAGAACTTATATCGGCCTAGGATAAAGTGAAGTGAATCGTAATTCAACCAAGTCATTTTGGCTATTTATTCACGATAATCATCGTCAATAAGAAGAATGAAGGAGATGTTCCATCTGCATAATCGGTGGTTGAATGCTTAAATAAAAGATAGATCGTCAACCATCAAAGCTCCTCATAACACTCCTAATACCTTTAGGTACTACACATAGAATGCAGTACACACTTTTAGGTTGAAACTAATGTAGAGTAAGTATAATTCTAGGTTTATTTACTTATGAGATATCGAATATTGCGTATAACGATGTTTTTTGAAAATGTATAGTTTTCAGCTCAAATTTAATCAAATTGCGAACCATTTCTCTAATACACCAATGAATTTAGAAAAATTATTTATAAAAATAAAGTAAAGTACACACTTTTAGCTTCAAAATGGGGTATCATATATGATTCTAGACATATGTGTTCATGAGATATCAGAAATATTATATCATTATGTTTTTATGAAAATTTGTTGTTTTTAACCTTAACTTGAGAATTTTTTTCCTAATGAATCAACAAATATAGAGTAATAATTTGTACAAATAAAATAAAGTACAGACCTTTAGGTTGAAAATGATGTATCATATATGATTCTAGACATATGTGTACAAGAGATATCAGAAATATTATATCATTATGTTTTTATGAAAATTTGTTGTTTTTAACCTTAACTTGAGAATTTTTTTCCTAATGAATCAACAAATATAGAGTAATAATTTATACAAATAAAATAAAGTACAGACTTTTAGCTTGAAAATGATGTATCATATATGATTCTAGACATATGTGTACAAGAGATATCAGAAATATTCTATTATTGTTTTTTGAAAATTTGTTTTTTTTTTACCTAAATTTGAGAATTTTTTCCCTAATAAACCAACAAATTTAGAGCAATACTTTATAAAAATAAAATAAAATATACACTTTTAGCTTGAAAATGATATATCATATATGATTCTAACGATATTTGTTCGTGAGATATTGGAATTTAATATTAAGACGTTTTTTGCAAATTTGTTGTTTTTAATCTAAACATGAGAACTTTTGTCTAATGAACCGACGAATTTAGAACAATAATTTGTAAAAATAAAATAAAGTACACACTTTTAGTTTGAAAATGATGTATCATATATGATTCCAGACATATGTGTTTATGAGATATCAGAAATATTATATCATTGTTTTTTGAAAATTTGTTTTTTTTTATCTAAATTTAAGAATTCTTTCCCTAATGAACCAACAAATTTAGAGCAATACTTTATAAAAATAAAATAAAATATACACTTTTAGCTTGAAAATGATATATCATATATGATTCTAACGATATTTGTTCGTGAGATATTGGAATTTAATATCAAGACGTTTTTTGCAAATTTGTTGTTTTTAATCTAAACATGAGAACTTTTGTCTAATGAACCGACGAATTTAGAACAACAATTTCTAAAAATAAAATACAGTACACACTTTTAGCTTGAAAATGATATATCATACATGATTCCAGCGATATTTATTCGTGAGATATTGGAATTTAATATCAAGACATTTTTTGAAAATTTGTTGTTTTTAATCTAAACTTGAGAATTTTTCCCTAATGAATAAATAAATTTAGAGCAATAATTTATAAAAATAAAATAAAGTACACACTTTTAGCTTGAAAATGATATGTCATATATGATTCCAACGATATTTGTTCGTGAGATATTGGAATTTAAAATCAAGACATTTTTTGAAAATTTGTTATTTTTAACCTCAATTTGAGAATTTTTTCCCTAATGAACCAACAAATTTAGAGCAATAATTTATAAAAATAAAATAAAGTACGCACTTTTAGCTTAAAAATGATATATCATATATGATTCTAGACATATGTGTTCATGAAATATGGGAAATGTTATATCATAACGTTTTTTGAAAATTATTGTTTTTAACTTATACTTAATTAACTTAAAATATTTTTGCCTAATAAACCAATAATTTTAGAACAATAATTTATAAAAATAAAATAAAGTACACACTTTAAGCTTGAAAATGATATATTATATATGATTCTAGCGATATTTGTTCGTGATATATCGAAATTTAATATCAAGACGTTTTTTGAAAATTTGTTGTTTTTAACCTAAACTTGAGAATTTTTTCCCTAATGAACCAACAAATTTGGAACAATAATTTATAAAAATAAAATAAAGTACACACTTTAAGCTTGAAAATGATATATTATATATGATTCTAGCGATATTTGTTCGTGATATATCGAAATTTAATATCAAGACGTTTTTTGAAAATTTGTTGTTTTTAACCTAAACTTGAGAATTTTTTCCCTAATGAACCAACAAATTTGGAACAATAATTTATAAAAATAAAATAAAGTACACACTTTAAGCTTGAAAATGATATATTATATATGATTCTAGCGATATTTGTTCGTGATATATCGAAATTTAATATCAAGACGTTTTTTGAAAATTTGTTGTTTTTAACCTAAACTTGAGAATTTTTTCCCTAATGAACCAACAAATTTGGAACAATAATTTATAAAAATAAAATAAAGTACACACTTTAAGCTTGAAAATGATATATTATATATGATTCTAGCGATATTTGTTCGTGATATATCGAAATTTAATATCAAGACGTTTTTTGAAAATTTGTTGTTTTTAACCTAAACTTGAGAATTTTTTCCCTAATGAACCAACAAATTTGGAACAATAATTTATAAAAATAAAATAAAGTACACACTTTAAGCTTGAAAATGATATATTATATATGATTCTAGCGATATTTGTTCAAGTGATATCAGAAATACTGTATCATTATGTTTTTTGAAAATTTGTTGTTTTTAACCTAAACTTGAACATTTTTTCCTAATGAACCGACAAATTTAGAACAACAATTTATAAAAATAAAATAAAGTACGCACTTTTAGCTTAAAAATGATATATCATATATGATTCTAGACATATGTGTTCATGAAATAAGGGAAATGTTATATCATGACGTTTTTTGAAAATTATTGTTTTTAACTTATGCTTAATTAACTTAAAATATTTTTACCTAATAAACCAATAATTTTAGAACAATAATTTATAAAAATAAAATAAAGTACACACTTTAAGCTTGAAAATGATATATCATATATGATTCCAGCGATATTTGTTCGTAAGATATCGAAATTGAATATCAAGACGTTTTTTGAAAATTTGTTATTTTTAACCTAAACTTGAGAACTTTTCTCTAATGAACCGACGAATTTAGAACAACAATTTATAAAAATAAAATAAAGTACACACTTTTAGCTTGAAAATGATGTATCATATATAATTCTAGACAATTGTGTTTAAGAGATATCGGAAATTTTATATCACGAGATTTTCTGAAAATTTTTTGCTTTTTAAGTTATACATAATCAACTTGAGAACTTTTTTCCTAATGAACCAGTAAATTTAGAACAATAACTTACAAAAATAAAATAAAGTAAACACTTTTAGCTTGAAAATGATATGTGATATATAATTCATCTTTCATATATATCAAAAATGTTATATCACAAAATTTTTTAATTTTGTTAATTATAATATAAATTTAATCAAGTATTACCAATACCTGGTACAAATACAGTTAGGTAATATATGATTAGAAATAATAAAATATATAGGAGTATATAAGGAGATGCTAAAATATATAAGAATAAATAAATATAAAAGCAAATTTGTTTATATGTTAGAATCAAATTTATTTTGCCAATCACAGTTAATAATTAAAATAATTTTCCAAAATAATAATAAAAATTCATTTAAATTTATTTATCTTCATCAGAATTGTTCAAACCATTTCTTTTCTCCAAATCATCATTTCCATTTAATAAACAACTGAAGCGTGGTATGGAGCAACTGCTGGGACACCTCCGTGGTAAGCTACAGCTGGAGCAACTCCGTGGTAAGCTGAGTATCCAGACACAACTGGTGCAGTGTATCCAGTGTATCCAGCAGAAACAACCGGGGCGGAATAAGCGGATACAACTGGAGAAGAATAAGCCAATGGAGCACCAACAACTGGAGCAGAGTAAGCAGCAGCTACAAGACCTGGTTTTGGTTTTGGTTCAGGGGCAGCAACGGCCAAAGCCAAGAAGGCGGCGAATACAATCTTAAAAATATAACAAAAATTAAATCGAAATAAAAAAATTTGTATAAAAAAAATTTTACTTACAGCTTTGAACATTTTGAAAGTTGAGGAGTTGATTGTTCTGTTACAAATTGAACTATGATCATAGATAAATTCGGGCCGGTATTTATACTAAATCTGTATCATGTAGCAAATAGCAAACAACTTTTTTTTTCAATGTGTTACAAAAAGGAGGGGTCCTAGATATAATTTCAAGTTCAAGTGGTAACACTTGTAATGTCCTAATGGACGAAATGTGGGCGATTATTCTTCGATCGAAACCAGTTTTGGCTCGCTTCGCAATGACCTACAACCACATAGGTATTTAGTTCCTTGTTCTGGTTCAGGTTCGGGTTTTATGTAAATTTGGCAATCGATAAAGGTACGTCGTAATATTTTTAAAATATTCTCTTGTTAATTTTTAATTATATTTATTTGAATAATCTCAAGGATTATATTATTATGTAATTATGTAATTTTAGAATTTAATGCTCAAATCAAATATAATTTCATATATTTTAAGTAATTAATAATTATTTAGTAAGTTTCATGATCTTCTTTGTTTAAAATGAGGAATGTTGCTACTCATCAACCAAATTAATAGCAAATAAGGCCTATAAAAAATCCACGGTCGTCAAGAAAACGAGTTCCTTACTAAATGCAAATAATAAATTAAAAAAACCTCCGGAATATTGGCGTTATTCTCGGATTCAAGTGATCCAGTTCTCCCCACGCGATCTTCAAATAATTCCTGTGTTTTTAGTATAAAAGGCCCTCAATTTTGCTTGGTAGGCATAGTTTGATTCGTTCTCAATCAAATACTCACCTCAAAATGTTTAAAGCTGTAAGTATCATTATTTTCTTTATTAACGATTTTTAATTTAAATAATAATTTTAGGTAATTTTCGCCGCCCTTTTGGCTTTGGCAGTAGCCGCTCCAGAACCAAAACCTAAACCAGGATATCTTGCGTATTCCGCCCCAGCCTACACCGCTTACTCTGCACCAGCCTATACAGCCTATTCTGCTCCAGTTTACTCATCTTACTCAGCCTATTCAGCTCCATACGCCTACGCTGCTCATTATCCTTATTCTTATGGATACGCCGGGGCTCATTACGTCTATTGATTTGCAAACACTTAATTACGAACATTTCTTTTATATCAAAATGTTAATTTGGATTGTGATTACGAAATTTGCAGAATTTAATAATAAAGGTTTAAGTTAGTTTCAAATGTCTATTTTCATTCTGTTCTATTTTCAACTAAATTAATGCATAACACCAAAAAATTCTCATTATCTATAAATATGTCCGAAACATATACATTTGTTAGGTAAAGGTAATTATTAAAACAATAAACTCGAGGGTGACGTAAAATTCTTTTATTACATCCACGCGTACACAAAACAAAAAGTTGTATTGAACTTCACGGTTACATGAGTATGTTACATCGCTTTATTAATTGTCGATTCATCTGGAGATAAATCATATGTAAGCGTAACCACCGTATCCATAATAATATGGATATCCATAAGAATAGGCGTACGGGTAATATCCATAATATGGAGAGGCGTAACCTAATGGTGATGAATAAAACAAATCTGGTTTAGGTGCTGCGAAAGCAACCGCGAAGAGAGCAGCAAAAAGAAGGATCTAAAATAATACACAAAAATTGATATAATTATTAATAAGAAATAAAAAAACTCACCAATTTAAACATTTCAGAGTCGTAGAACTTAGATAGACAGTGAAGTAAATACTGAGGAAGTCGTTGATGTATTGACAATAAATAATTTACGACGATCGGTTTTTATACGTTCAAATGAAGACAGTCGCGGCATAACAATTGATACAAACAGCTGAAAAGATGGATTGACATTGACATTAATTACCGGATCATAAATGGAAGTGCGCGATGATGATCGTAGACCAAATGTGTCGGAGTGGTTGTGCAACAACGTATGAATGAATAACTTATTTATATGAGGTTGGACCTATTTCTGGAATTCAATTACTTATTTATGTGCATACATTTTGGGCGATTCGTATCGATCGCGCGTTGCTTGCAGAATTGGAAGAAGAAATTCAACGAGATAATGATCTAATTCAAGGTTAAATTGTAGGCATTATTTATGAGATATAGCAAAAAAATTTAATTAATAATTCAATAAATTTATATATTTATAACTTAAAATTTTTTTTTTAATATTGACACAACTTTTATATTAAAATTTTTTTTTAATATGTTCTGAATACATTGCGCAACCATCAATATAATGTGAAATAACGATTTCATAAAATTTTTACACTTTTTTTCGCATCTGATTGTGAGAGCAAAAGTGATAAAGAGCAATGTTATTTACAATAAAATTTGCTACAATTTTTAAGCATAAAATTAGCCTATAGAACCTGCAGTATCGACAGTAGAAGAAAGAAGAGACTTGTTTGCGAAAAGAAAAAGACTGGAAGCAAGAACAAATGTAATAAAGAACTGGCAAGATAGATCAATCAAGAAGACTGGACCAGATTACTAATCCCTGCTGTGAAAAAGAGGGTGCTGAAAAGATGGGGAAAAGGTAATCACTTCCTGAAGCAAGCTTTGAATGGACACTGAATCTTCAAAACACATCTTTCTCGAAGCACATTGCAGAAGAATGATTAATCCAACCACGATGGTAAGACACATGTTGGACAGATGGTGAATGAGATCTTGAGAATTAAGGAAGAATATGAACAAGAGCTGGAATGACAAAACAAAAACAAATAAATATGCTCAAAGGGTAAGATGAAGAGGAGGAGAGAAGAGATATCTTTGTCACTCCTCAAGCGTATACGTTTACAGGTAATCCTCTGATTCCTTATTGTCAAAATGATAGGAGACCAGATGGGAAGTATCAGATGAAGAGGAGAAAAGATAAAATGATGAGGAAGAGATGACAAAGAGATGAGATGAAGAACAGACGAGGACGGACTAATTTGGGGATAATTAAATATAATTTGGTTAGAGAATTTGGTTTTATTTTATTTTTTTAATTTTTGGTACAGGAAAGATAGGAAATAGATTGGGTGGGACGAAGTTAGCCTGGAAATAAACATAATAAACTGAAAACAGATATAATACAAGGTAGAGAGGAATAACATTGAAATGTGACTGAATACAGACTGATAGTATAAGAAAGAGCCTGATCAGAAAAGAGGAAGACGAGAAAGTAATTAGTAACAAAGAAGAGAGGTCAAATAGAGACTAGGAAGATGAGAATGGATCTGAACAGAAAAGAGGAAGATTGGCAAGAGTCAGAAATACAAAAAATATGCTATACAGAAAGACGGATGCTGGTAATATTAGAACGGAACCGAAATTGGAATGTTAAAAAAAATAATGGAGAGAAATGAGGAGGAGAATTCTCAAACTTGAAAGAGACCAGGAATAACAAAAAGAATCTGAATCAATACTGGAATCACAAAAAAGAAGGATACTGATAAGAAGTTTGAAATAGAAAAACAAACTAATTATAGACTGGAAATACCAGAAACATAGTGAGAAATACAAAAAAAAAACACTGAAAAAACTAAAAAGATTCGAAAGGGACTGATCATAAAAGAAGAAAACTGAATGTAGTCTGGAATGACTAGAAACAAACTGCAGACTTAACATACATTTTCTCGAAAATGTCATGAAGAACTGGCAAGAGGAATGGACCAATCAGGAAGGCTGGACCAGATTACTAATCCCTGTTGTAAAAAAGAGAGTGCTGAGAAGATGGGGAAAAGTTAATCACTTCCTGAAGCAAGCTTTGGACACTGCATCTTCAAAACACATCTGTAAAAAACCAACACAACAGACTTGAGTTTTGCGCAAAGAGTTCACCAATATTAGAACGAGGTGCGAAGCACAGTACAGAAGAATGATTAATCCAACCACGATGGTAAGATACATGTTGGACAGATAGTGAATGAGATCTTGAGAATTAAGGGAGAATATGAAGAAGGGCTGCAATGACAAAACAAAAACAAATAAATATGCCCAAAGGGTAAGATGAATCGGAGGAGGGAGTAAATATTTTTGTCACTCCTCAAACGGATATGTTTACAGGTGATACACTGAGCAAGGACAGGAGATTAAAGAAAAAGAAGTAGGTATTTCCTTATTGTTAAAATGATAGGAGACCAGATGGAAAGTAGCAGATGAAGAGGAGAAAACATGATATGATGAGGAAGAGATGAAAAAGAGATAAGGTGAAGAACAGACCAGGACGGGATGAAGAGGAAATAAGGAGGATAAGAGAAAAGAGGAAAGAAGTGTTTGGAGAGTGAAGAGAAAGGAGTTAAGAAAGAATGGGCGGTTTCCAGAGGAGAGTTTCCAACCCGACACTATCTGGCCGCATAAGATCCATAGGTTGGGTGTCTGTCTAGCAAATTTTCTAATCTCCTCCGCAATAAAAAAAGAAATTGTAGTTTTGTTTTTAGGTGGGCTGAGTTGCATTGAGTTGGGTTGGCTTAGATATTTCTTGGTTTACCCTTGTTATAAATCATAACCAATTTTAACAAAAGCTTATTATGTTGTTTTTTACATGAGTATGGGTTAATTGACTCAATTATGTCAATTATTCAACCTTGCGAAGTTATAGACCTCACACTTTTTAGAAAGAAGAAAACGGTTACCAAAATATCCTATAAGTAGCTTATAATATCCTATCAAAAAAGAATACTANTTTTTGAAACTTCAGTAAGTCTTCTAATAACAAATAAATTATGTTTGAATTATTAACGCCAAAATCATCCCAAAATACTTTTTTGCCGTTTTCTCAAAATCGAAAAATTTGGACTTAAGGGTATTTGAAACCAAACAACTCAAAAGTGTTTTTCATAGAACCTTGGCTAGTAAATGGATATGTTTTCATAACAGTTACTTTTTCATTACTGCTAACTGCAATGATCAACAAATTTCAATAAGACTACACTATGATTCTCTTTATAGTTATAAACATAATAATTACAACCACTATTCTATATAGCTTCAATAAAAACATGTTTATCGTCAAGCGTCCAAATATTTGAGTCAATATGAGGAAAAAACTCAAGCTGACTTCACATTCACAACATTATCTATAAAATTAAGAAGATTGGGTAATCTTTGAAATGTTTTGGAGATTCGATTATATCTTTGGATAACATCTTATCATGCTTTAGGACCTTAGGCTTAATTCGGTGTTAAATGTTGATCGAGGAAATGGAATTGCATTAAAAACCACGAAGTGGGAGTGAATCAGCCGATCACCTTGTATCTTTATGGCGTTTTCATAGAATTTACAACAATAAGTCATCTCTGGCTTCAATTAATTTAGAAATAATAAGCAGGTTTGCAGGATCGTGTAGATTTATCTGTGTAATTTACCCGATAGATATCATCTTGTTTCAATTTATATAAAAATAAAAAAACAGATTTATTTTTTGCAAAATTAATATTTTATTCAATCATGATTGTATGATAAAAGTGAAAGGCTGCAAACTCGAAGCAGGATCAAATGTAATGAAGAACTGGCAAAAGAGATGGGCCAATCAAGAAGGCAGGACCAGATTAAAGCTGAGAGGATGGGGAGAAATGGATCATTTTCTTAGTGACGTGAGCCTACTAAACCGTATCTACTGCTAGTGTTGAGGCGATAACAAGCATTAAGAATTAAGAATTTTATCCATGTTGCAAGTTGGGAATATATTAAAAATTATACCAAAAAGATATACTAGAAAAAACTTCTTTAGCTTGCTTTTATTTAAATATATAACAAGCAAGGTCTAATGGACGTGCTGGTGGAAGAGAGGCGCGCTATTCATGAGAAAGAAAGCAAGTGGGGCGAACATAATTATCACCTAACACCAGTGATGGGCGCTGGGTAAATACCCGGCGGGTAGGTATTTATAAAATGGGTATTTATCCGGGTATTTACCCCGGCCCAGGATAAATACCAAAGTAGTACATATAAAAGTGATACAAGTAAAAATATAACAGATTCGGAAAAAAATTTAGAGGAAGGTGATGAAATTTATCAAGATGATTGAAGACAAGGAATTGTCAGCGATCGAAGACGTATTATAATCAAGCAACCACTCCTCATTCTTCATTCTTGCGACGATGATCCGCCCAGTTCCACGTCAGCTTTGCCACAATGTTGACCATATCATTTACGCCAGATCCTCTTCGTAGGTTTTCATTTCTTATGTAGTCCCTCAGGGTTACATCCAGCATCGACCTCTCCAGCTGTCTTTGCGTTACTTTGAGCCTCCTGGTAATGGCCACCGTTAATGCTAAAGTTTCGGAACCGTATGTCATAACATAACCAAAGGAGGAAGCACGCATTGATTGAAAGCCTTTCTTTTCAAATATACAGAAATATCGCTCATGAACCTCGTAACCATCGAACTATACCGCTCTCGATACATGAACCTCATTGCCAAGATATACATAACTGTCAACTCTCTCAGTCTCATTATCCCCAATGTTAATGTTAAAGCTGAGAACAAGATTTGTCATAAATTTTGATTTCTCCACGTTGATCTTTAGCCCAACTTTTGCACACCTCCTGTAAGTCGTTCAGCATCAGTTTCATCTCTCCAAGGCTATCCGAAATAAGGACTATATCGTTCGCGTAGCGTAAATTACTTAGGTATTGCCATCAATTTGGGTTCAACATTGTATCGCCTTGTCTTACCCCACGCCCAATGGGTATTTGGTCAGTACTTACATGCAATTTTACCGTCATTGTAGCATTCTTGTAAATGTTATAAATAGGTTTGGTATATCGATAATCGACTCTGCATTCTTGAAGTATTTGCAAAACTGCCATCAACTCAATTTAAATCAAATTTTATAAATACCTCTAAATACCCATCTTGGGTAAATACCCCCGGGTATATATCCAGGAAATTTTCCCTTCAAAATAAATACCCGGATTTTTAACAACACTGCCTAACACAGCTCCTGTGAGGGCACAGAGTGTGCTATAAAATTAAGAGTCTTGGATATCTCTTGGCATGCCTTGAGGACTCGATTATTTTTTTTGGTTAACATTTTATTATATTGGCTTCTATGCGATTTAATTTCATAAATTTAGGAATTTCATAAAAAAGTCATCAATTTAGAAAGAAATCATGTTCCTTTTTTGAATATAAATTATTGATTGTCTGTAATCTTATATTCTTCGGCGTTACCCCATGAACAGGGATCGCCCGAGATTTTAGCTCAATAACTGCATTAAGAAAATGCAATCACATTAAACACCCTTAAGTTAGAGTGGATCAGCTGAGCAACTTACAACAATAAGTCATCACACTTAATTTAGAAATAAAAAACCTATTTGCACGTTTATGTGGAGATTGGTTCAGCATACAATTTTTTANAATGTTTTGGAGATTCGATTATATCTTTGGATAACATCTTATCATGCTTTAGGACCTTAGGCTTAATTCGGTGTTAAATGTTGATCGAGGAAATAGAATTACATTAAAAACCACGAAACCGGAGTGAATCAGCCGACCAGCTTGTATCTTTATGGCATGGTCATAAAATTTACAACAATAAGTCATCTCTGGCTTCAATTAATTTAGAAATAATAAGCAGGTTTGCAGGATCGTGTAGATTTATTTGTGTAATTTACCCGATAGATATCATCTTGCTTCAATTTATATAAAAATAAAAAAACAGATTTATTTTTTGCAAAATTAATAGTTTATTCAATCATGACTGTATGATAAAAGTGAAAGGCTGCAAACTCGAAGCAGGATCAAATGTAATGAAGAACTGGCAAAAGGGATGGGCCAATCAAGAAGTCAGGACCAGAATAAGGCTGAGAGGATGGGGAGAAATGGATCATTTTCTTAGTGACGTGAGCCTACTAAACCGTATCCACTGCGAGTGTTTGGGCGATAACAAGCATGCCTCCAATGGACTTGCTGGTGGAAGAGAGGAGCGCTATTCATGAGAAAGAAATAAAGTACAGGATGGAACCCAAAAGGAAGCGAGGTGGAACTTGCAAGATAGATGGACAGCGAAACTTATAGTGGATTTAGAAGCATAGACTCAGCGCAAATGGGGCGAACATAATTATCATCTAACAGAGCTCCTGTGAGGGGACGGAGTGTGCTATAAAATTAAGAGTCTTGGATATCTCTTGGCATACCTTGAAGACTCGATTATTTTTTTTTGATATCGCATTATAATACCCTTAAGTTAGAGTAGATCAGCTGAGCAACTTACAACAATAAGTCATCACACTTAATATAGAAAAAAAAAGCCTATTTGCACGTTCATGTGGAGATTGGTTCAGCATACAATTTTTTAATTAATATAAAAACAAAGATTTATTTTTGCAAAATTAATATTTTATTCAATCATGATTTAGGCATAAACAACAGGAGCAGAGTAAGCAGAAACAGCTGGAACAGCTCCATGATAAGTACTATAACTAGAAACAACTGGAGCTGTATAAGCAGACACTACTGGAGATGTATAACCAGATACAACGGGAGATGAATAAGCCAATGGAGTTCCAACAACTGGTGCAGTATAAGCTGCAGCAACAATTCCCGGTTTTGGTTTTGGTTCTGGAGCAGCGACGGCTAAAGCCAAGATAGCAGCAAAAACAATCTAAAAATAAATTAATTAATTAAATCAAACCCAAAATTAAAACTTAATCAACTTACAACTTTGAACATTTTGGTTGATTTGTTTAGTAAAGCTTCGAATCGAAGTATGATTCACAAAAATTTTCGGTCACCTATTTATAGTAAACCTGCAAGTCACTTTGTTTCGGTAGCGCAGTTTTTTCTGTTGTTGTGATTACGAAATCAGATCGGGACAACAAAGGACGAATGTAAATGAGTTTAAGAAACGTGTTGTGTTTCAAGTGTAAAAGATAGTTGACATTTATGTCCGTCAATGGTTAAGTGCTGCAACCTGTGTCCGAAAAAAGAGTCTAATCTGCGATTGGGATCTGTATGAAAACCGTTTTTTTTTGCTTCTTAACGTGTTCGCAATGACATTTAACATAAAAAATCTTGTTTTAACCCACTTGTTTGCGTTTTCGTAATAGCAAACGTATTTTGAATGTAGGTACTCATGATGAATTTCGAATTGTGTTTACCCCACTTCGAAATGATACAAAATTTTGGTATAAATAGAGCATTTATTTTGGTTTTTGTATTATAGTTCAACCAGAAAGTAGAACAATAACAATCATCTCAAAATGTTCAAAGCTGTAAGTTCTTTTTTTATTATTATTAAATTTATTATTTTATTTTTTTTTAAGATTGTATTCGCTGCCTTTTTGGCTTTGGCTGTTGCCGTCCCCGAACCCAAACCAAAACCAGGACTTGTAGCTGCTGCATATTCCGCACCATTCGTTGGAGCTCCTTTGGCTTATTCTAGTTATTCTTCCCCTTATTCAGCACCAGTTGTTTCTGCATACACTCCACCAGTTGTATCAACTTATCATGGGGTAGCACCAGCTGTAGCCGCCGCTTATCACGGCCCAGTCGTTGTTGGTTAAAATTCTTTCTTCGATGATGTCTACCCTTCTTCTTTTTCTTTAGTTTCATTTAGTTTCGTAGGAAATTGTAAATGATTTGTAAATAATTTCTGAAAATCCGTGTAAAATTATGATTTTGAAATAAAACCCTTTCCTTCATTCCATTTTTGGAGTTTTTATTCTATAAATTAGTACAAAAGAAATCGTAAAAAATTAAGCTAACATTATAATATCTAAAATTTAAATAATTTTAAAAGAATTTTAATCGGCTTAAATTTTCTTCTCGGTGCCGAATTAACCATCCCAATTGAAGCAACAAGAGCGACAACAACCAAAATCTAAAAAAGCAATAAAATGAAATAATTAAACACTTTTCTTTGATTTAACGTACCACTTTGAGATTCATTCTTGATAATTAGATTAATAAAGCACTAAATTGAGTATGAATCGGGTTGAATGAAGATGTGCTCTCGAACTTTTTTTTCAACTCTCTTTATACTCGGAGGTGTCGAAATTTTTCGCGAAAAGTGGGGGTCATATAATAATAAATATATAACGACAAGAAAGTGTTACGTAACTTATGTAACGTAATAATCACTCACGGTGGTCTTTCTTTTGTCCTTGGACCAGAGAAATTTTTGTACCGGCTCGACCCAGGTCAAGTGAAATTTTTCTGATTGTTTTAAGAAGTAATTATCATAATATGTTGAATAAGAAGCAAGTTTAAAAATAACTCTTAGATAAATCCTTTTTAAGTTGCACTTTTTGTTATAATATAACAAAACGATGACATCGTATACTACAATTTGAATAAAAACGATTTCTGATAAATCTGGAATTGTTAAAGATTCGTTGGGTTTTCCCCAATTTTTGCAATCCCGCTCTAGACCTTTCCCCAAGGCTCCTCTTTACATTCTCTTGTTAAGCAGTTGCTGCTGTATCGCTCCTTCTTTCATCTTGACCACATGTCCTCATTGCAATCTTTGGATCTTCATCTACTCTGAAAGCATTAGCTTCTCGTACTAACTGTATAGTTCTTGGTTATATCTTGTTCTCTTGTATTATTCTCACATTTCCAATCCTTCTCAGGATTTTTATTCATTGCTCGTTCGTATTCTGTACTAAATGTTTATAAGTACTAATACTAATAGAGGAAAGTGACTGAAGATAGACTAGAAATGGAAATATGACTTGGCACAGATGAAAAACACTTAAAGAGACCGAATGGAGAGTAGAAAAACAGGAAAACAACCAGGCAGAAATGAGTAAGTCTGAAAACAGACTAAATGGAGAATGGAATGTCAATAAATAAACTAAACAAAAACGAGGATGACTAGAAATAGACTGAATACAGAATGAAAAGCAAAATAATGATGGTACAGAAGAAAGAAATTGCAAAGATACTGCACAAAGTTTAGAAGACCACAAAATAGCTTGACAGAAAGGCGGTAGACTTGATAATATAAGTGATAATAGTAGAAAAGGACTGAGAAGATACTGGAAAGACAAAATAGAGTTTGGACAGGGAAGAGGAAGACTGGGTAAAGATAGCTAATAGAGGAAAGAAACTGAATCAAGACTGGAAAGTGAAATATAACTTGGCAGAGATGAAAGAGGGTAAAGAAAGTCGAACGGAGACTAGAAGGACAAGGAATATACTGAGCAAAAGCTAACCAAAGTCAGGGAAGACCACAAAACAGCTGAGCGGAATGGCGAGTGAATGGATCAAAACTGATAGTGGTAGAAATAGATAGAGCAGGTGCTGTAAATGCAAAATACAGGGTGTTAATGAATGACGTGTAGATATTTCAGGAGGCGGTAGTAAAAAAAATAGAAGAAAAATACTAATAAACATGTGGTCAAAAATGCGTCACTACAGAGTGGTTTACTTTATACATTTATGGCTCTTTTCCTAAGGTATCTTGAAAACGGTGACAGATACGAGAATAACGAATTAGACCAAAGAGTTGAAGAAAATGATAGGGAGTTTAAATACGATATCAAAATTACTATATATGTTATACAGGCTGTTCAAACAAAAGCTTGCAGATGGTATAAGAATTAGAAACACGAAACAATGGGACACCTTGGTAGTGTGGCTGACGATTTTGTCATTTTATTGTAGAGATTTATAAACATTAGGTGTTATTATTATTCACAAAAACACCGAAGAAAAACATTTTTCTCCTATTTTGTCGAGTACTACCGTCATCACCTGAAATATCTGCACGTCGTTCATTAACACCCTGTATAGTGTGGAATGAGAAATATAACTGAAACAGAAAGAATGTGGACTAGAAAGGCAAGAAAAGTGCTTGGAAGAAATTAATGAGACTGGAGACTTCAAAGACACTAGGAATGAAAGAATCTGAATCAATACTGGAATCACATACAACTGATTGGGCAAAACAATAGGAGACTAATAAGAGGTTGGAAATTAAAAAAAAATGATTACAAACTGGAAAGACCAGAAACAGAGTGGGAAGAAAGGCGTGAAACTGGGGAGAGATTAGTAATACTAAGAAGAGGTTGAACAGACACTGGAAATACAAAAAAGACACTGAAGGAAATAGAAAATCTCGAAAAGGACTGGTCATAGAAGAAAAAAACTGAATGGACTCCGGAAAGTGACTTAACAGAAAAAGCGGGACTGACAAGAGACTAGTAACGGAGGAAAGAAACTGAAGTGGAGACTGGAATGACTAGAAACAAACTGCAGAGATAAAGCTGAACATAGATTGGATAGAGATATCATTTTGGCAGAGATGAAAGGAATTGAAAAATGACTGGTCAGAAAAAAAGAAGCAAAGAGTTAAAAAAGAGGCTGGGCAGAAATGTGGGAGGTCGTTGATAGAAGAAAGAGACCAAACAAAGTCTGCAAAGACAAGCAAAATACTGCATAGATTGGAAGATACGGAAAGTAGAAGATTTTAATTTTTGTTTGAGGAAATCTCATTGATTTTGAAGATACCTAAGATACATTTTCTCCAAAATATAATGAAGAACTAGCAAGAGGGATACCAATCAGGATGGTTGGACCAGATTACTAATCTCTGCTCCGGAAAAGAGGGTGTTGAAAAGATGGGGAGAAGTGGATCATTTCCTGAAACAAGCTTTGGGTGGACACGGCATCTTCAAAACACATGTGTAAAAAACCAACAAAATAGACTTGAGTTTTGCGCAAAGAGTTTACCAATATTAGAACGAGGTGCGAAGCACAGTACAGAAGAATGATTAATCCACCCACGATGGTAAGTCACATGTTAGACAGATGGTGTATGAAATCTTGAGAATTAAGAGAGAATAATAAGGGCCGAAATGACAAAACAAAAACAAAGGTTAGATAAGGTTGTTAAGAGAGTAGTATTAGATAAATAAAGCTGAGCATAGATTAAATAGAGTTATAATACTTGGCAGAGAGGAAAGGTATTGGAAAATGACTGGACAGAAAGGAGGAAAAACAGAGTTAAAAAATAAGGCTTGGCAGAAATGTGGTAAGTCGTAATAGAAGAAAGAGACTAAGCAATGTCTGAAAAGACAAGCATATAACTGGAAAAGAAGAAGGTACTGGAAATACAAGATCAACTCAACTGTGATATTACGAATGTTGTTCAACTCAAAAGATTTGAATCAATTTTTATAGAATTTAATCTGTTTAATGATTTTAAATCATTGTATCGGGTTTTTATCACTAACTATAGATTTACAGCATAAACCATCAATTTTTGTGTATAAATACTTTTGATTTTCCTTTTAGTTCAGTATGGATTTATTTCGCAGCTGAACCCAACACATGAAATCATTTTTTAACTACGCTTAAAATTATTATCATGAAGAGCATTTTTGCATTAATAATACGACTTTAATCTTAATAGGTAATTTAAAAGCTTCTTATTTTTAATTCAAATTAAATTTCAAAACGAAACGAATAATTATTCGTAATTTTATTGCTTTGTTTTTATAAATGTTAAAAATAATAGAGTTTATAATATTATATAAGAATTTGTAAATTGAATTTAATTAGAAATTCGACACAAATGAGTTACAAAACGATATTGAAGAATTGATACTTGGCCAACACCTACAACACACAACCTCGATTAATTTGGTATGCCGCCACCGACTTTGCATTGCATCAAATGGGACAAGATCACCGCAGGGTAATTGGTATTCATGGGGCTTTTTGGTATGCTCATACTTAATATCGCTTCATCGATGGGCACATTGTGTATATAAGTCATTGGTTTTTCCAACCGAGGCATCAGTTTTTCGAGTTTCATTCGACCAAAGTAAACACAAACAATCAACATGTTCAAATCGGTAAAGTTATTAATTTTGTGTTTAATAATTTTAAAGAAAGTGCTAAAATATTTTATTTTTTTTAGATATTCATCTTCACCATCATCTTCGCGATGGCTTTCGCAGCTCCAAGCCCAAAACCAAAACCGGACGTTTTAGTTACATCACCGCTTGTGTCAGCGCCTGTTGCTTATTCAGCTTATACAGCACCATTAGCCTACAGCAGTTACGTTTCTCCGTATTATAACGGATACGTTTCGAGTTATTCTTATCCTTACGCTGCCGCTGCTTATACATATTTCTAGACCGGACTTGAAAACTTGACCACCAAGACTGACATTACTTACTACCACATTCTTTAACGATGACTTAGACAAAGACTCCGGACTAAGACTTATACCAAAAAAAAATTAAAAAAGACAAAAACAATGTAGGTTTATATAGAAAAAAATAAATTTGCGATTTGAAAATGAATGTGTGATTTTTATACTAACAGTTTCGAAATTAATTGCAAAATAGGGCGAGATATAACCTAAATAAGGGTGGGTTTTTTGTGGGTGGAAAACGGAACTAAATAGATTTTGTTTTGTCACGAGCGCACGATAATACAAAAGAATACCGGTAGCTGCGAGATTATGTAACCGCAAGTTCGTTCTGCCAAGCGCGTGCGCTCATCTTTATGGATGGACCGCATTGTAATCGGCAGGACAATTGCGACCGTTGCAATTGAGCTCGTTGAACTGACCGTTTTAGTTTTTTAAATACGACGCTGACGCAATTTTCTATTGAAATATTGAATGAAAATCCAGTTAAAATTCGCCAAAAGAGCAATATATTGTAATAATAGACGTAATAATAGACAAACATAATCCACCTTTAAACAAACAATTATCACTAATTGTAAGGCACAAACAACTGTTAATGTGCTGTTATCAACATGAAAGAAATCGTTAACATAGTTGCAATAATTAATTATTAAAGGAACGCTAAATAATTTATTAGCATTGACAACTCTAAGTGCAGAAATTTCATCAAGAAGTTAAGGCAAGAAAGGTTCCAGATATCTTTAAGAGAGCATCTACAAAACGACATACTGACTTATATATCAGAAACTTGGGCGGATATATCAAAAACCACAAGCATGTTAAGAGCTACAGAAATGAGAACACTGAGGGTGCTTGATGTTGCGTTTTTTATGAGCGAGATATTGGAGAGACCATGAGGCCTGTCCTCATTTTAGAGTCGAAAAGGACTTCAGCAATCGAAGAGGCCTGATAAAGCATAAAAAATGAGATATTGTCTTAAATAGAGAGGAAGAAAAAGGAACGTTAAATGAGTTATAACGCACCAAGAATAAAATAAAAAAAAAATATTTATTATTTTAGTTTATATTATTTAAATTTCAGTTACAGCTGTTTAATAAATGCATTAACACAATCTATATCAAACACTTATATTAAAAAATTATTGAACCTAATTCTAGCTCGGGTTTTATTAACTTTAAAAGTCTACTTATTTTAAGATTGTAAGACATCAATAACTTTAGTACCTTTGATTCTGAAAGATGTTTGAACGTCTCTGAAATAATTTCTGTAAATAATTTTCTTCGATCAAATTCAAAAAATTATAAAACAAATTATAAGCTTTTCAATAAAAAAAGCCACTTTCAAATACATCTTTTAGTTTTTGATATATTAATGTTTAAACCTAACATTGTTTTTCTCATTTTTGAAGGTAAACAATTTTCTACGGTCAAATTCAAAAAATCATAATAAATCAACTAAGTCTTTAATCGTTATGAAATTATGAGTATTTACTCACCAAATTATGAGCTTTTCAATGAACTTCGCCGTTTTCGAAAATATCTTTTAGTTTTTGAGATATCCGTTTCTCAATACAACATTGTCATTTCTCATTTTTGAAGGTAAACAATTTTCTTTGGTAAATTCAAAAAATCATAATAAATTAACTAACTCTTTAATCGTTATGAAATCATCAGTATTTATACAACAAATTATGGGCTTTTAAATGAACTTGGCCGTTTTCAAAAATATCTTTTAGTTTTTGAGATATCAGTTTCTCAATACAACATTGTCATTTCTCATTTCTGAAGGTAAACAATATTTTTCGGTCAAATTCAAAAAATCATAATAAATCAACTAATTCTATAATGGTTATGAAATTATCGGTATTTTTAAAACTAATTATGAGCTTTTCAATGAACTTGCCCGTTTTGAAAAATATCTTTTAGTTTTTGAGATATCAGTTTCTCAATACAACATTGGTGTTTCTCATTTTTAAAGGTAAACAATTTTCTTTGGTTTAATTCAAAAAATCGTAATAAATCAACTAACTCTTTAATCGTTATGAAATCATCAGTATTTATACAACAAATTATGGGCTTTTAAATGAACTTGGCGGTTTTCAAAAATATCTTTTAGTTTTTGAGATATCAGTTTCTCAATACAACATTGGTATTTCTCATTTTTAAAGGTAAATAATTTTCTTTGGTCAAATTCCAAAAATCATAATAAATCAATTAATTCTTTAATTGTTATGAAATTATCGGTATTTATAAAACTAATTATGGGCTTTTAAATGAACTTGGCCGTTTTCAAAAATATCTTAGTTTTTGAGATATCAGTTTCTCAATACAACATTGTCATTTCTCATTTTTGAAGGTAAACAATTTTCTTTGGTTAAATTCAAAAAATCATAATAAATCAGCTAAATCTTTAATCGTTATGAAATTATCAGTATTTATACAACAAATTATGAGCTTTTCAATGAACTTGGCCGTTTTCAAAAATATCTTTTAGTTTTTGAGATATCAGTTTCTCAATACAACATTGTCATTTCTCATTTTTGAAGGTAAACAATTTTCTTTGGTTAAATTCAAAAAATCATAATAAATCAGCTAAATCTTTAATCGTTATGAAATTATCAGTATTTATACAACAAATTATGAGCTTTTCAATGAACTTGGCCGTTTTCAAAAATATCTTTTAGTTTTTGAGATATCAGTTTCTCAATACAACATTGTCATTTCTCATTTTTGAAGGTAAACAATTTTCTTTGGTTAAATTCAAAAAATCATAATAAATCAGCTAAATCTTTAATCGTTATGAAATTATCAGTATTTATACAACAAATTATGAGCTTTTCAATGAACTTGGCCGTTTTCAAAAATATCTTTTAGTTTTTGAGATATCAGTTTCTCAATACAACATTGTCATTTCTCATTTTTGAAGGTAAACAATTTTCTTTGGTTAAATTCAAAAAATCATAATAAATCAGCTAAATCTTTAATCGTTATGAAATTATCAGTATTTATACAACAAATTATGAGCTTTTCAATGAACTTGGCCGTTTTCAAAAATATCTTTTAGTTTTTGAGATATCAGTTTCTCAATACAACATTGTCATTTCTCATTTTTGAAGGTAAACAATTTTCTTTGGTTAAATTCAAAAAATCATAATAAATCAACTAATTCTTTAATCGTTATGAAATTATCAGTATTTATATAACAAAATATGGGCTTTTAAATGAACTTGGCCGTTTTCAAAAATATCTTTTAGTTTCTGAGATATAAAGTTTTGCAATTTGTCGATTTTTAACGATCATTTCCAACAAAACTTTTGTATTAATCCATTTTATCTTATTATCTTATTACCATAATCTTATTCAGATTGGGAACTATCTTTAGTGAACACTTAAAAACAAAAATGTTAATTATTTTCAACATTCAAAATTATCAATTTGTCATTCCATCAATTTGATTTAATATTTATTAATATGCGATACCCTCCCACAACAATACATTCTAAATTCTTAAATTGTGCATCTCAATGTGTTTCGAGATATCTAATTAAGAAATTTTAGATTTAATTTAATCATAAATAATTGTGATTTAATAAGTAATAATATTTATATTGCAATTTATTTACAGTGATTTAAAATTTTATTATAATCGACACAAACATTTAGATAGTCGTGTTTTATAATCATTAATTATTTACTTTGCAACTATTTTATAAGAAATTCAAAAACATCTCTACTTCAATAATTATTAATATTTAAAGCATCTGATTAAGGTTATATTTTAAACAATATAATAATCAGATAAGCTTATTAATTTTTTTTCACCAATTCCTCCAAAATAACATTATCGTTTATTGAGGATTGGTGAAGCTAAGTACTCAATTCAAGTACTCAAGTACTTGAATCAAATAGACTCAAATAGTATTGAATTTAACTTTTTTACAAGAATTTTTATACATCGATTTTAACCTCTCTCTTTCCAATCCTCTTCCAATCCCGGTATAATCCTTATATTAAATGTAGGGATTGCAAATCCAACAATGTCTTCTACAAGATCTATAACAGGAGCAAGAACATGGTCTGCACGTTCTGCAGTATAAATAACAACTACACGTGCTACAACACCAACTGTAGCTGTAGCTTGGTCTTCCATATTTGCAGCAAGAACAATCTATAAATAAAAAATGTTACCGTATAATCATTAATTCTTATGATGGAAATTAATTTTCATGAAATGGAACAGGTGATAACCACTCAAGCTATATCATGAATCAATTTAAACCTTCCGCATTCTTCGGCCCTAACCTAACCTTGTAGACCTACAAAGCATAAATAGGATTGCGTGATCGGATGTCTTTAATCGTTTGCGCCATGCGGCGGTTTTCGTCCTATCCAAAATTGAATCGAGTTGCCCTTAATTTCTTTCCTTTCCCCGTTATGGAATCGATGATCTCAATGTCATGGTGTGTATTCCCCATCAAGATCAAATCTTTCAATTAAACCTCCTCAAATTTGAGAAATCAAAGACAATTTTGAACAATGAAGTCGATTAAATCGATAAGAATCAGAAATTTTTTACTCACATTTCTTATCGTATTCCCACCAGTAATAATCGCCGTATTTTCTATCCAAAGTCATTTTGATTTTGGCTTATTAAAGGTGACCTTTTGGTGATGTGTTGCGGATGTGATGAGACTTCGACTGGCGATGGGTGAAATGAAACTGGCTTTTGCGAGGTTGATCCCCATAAGATCTATTGCAACAGCGCTATCGACCAAACTGTAGGCACAAATTTAGCAAATAATAACGGCTTGTTCATTGCTATACAAGGTCTTTGGTCCGATATCGTTTTGTCCGGAACAGTGACATCGTGAGCCTGACTCCAAGGGTGGTTGGATTCGGTATCAAAAAAAAAATCGAGTTCAAGGAGATGCGAAAGTATTTTTGATTTCTTTGTCCTTGACTTCTACTTTATTATTTAAAACGAACCTCAATCAAAATTAAAAAGAATTTTTATAAAGCCATTAATTCTAAATGAGATTTAGATATTCTAGATTAGATGTTTTTTATGGTATCAATCCTTAGAAACTATAAACAACTTTTTTATGCCACTTAAATAGAAATTTACGTCATCCAGCAAAATATGAAGAAATCTTTTATTAATGAATATGTATATCAACCTTTCCTCTGTTTGTTGGTTAATAACAAAAACAAATAGACCAATAACAGTTGAAATTATCTTAAATTAATTCAATATATAATCGTTTTTGTGGATTTCTTAAAAAGTTTAATTATAAATTAAAAATCGATTTCAAACTAATTGTAATAGGTGTATTATAATTTATGGTAAACATTGACGAAATCGTCCTTTAATACGGTTATAAAATTTATGAGAATGAGAAGAAATCGACCATCAACGGAAACCTTGAATAATCGGAGATCTTCCCTAATTTTTTGCGTATAAAAGCGTAGCAAATTCGCAAGAACAACATCAGTGATCTGATTGAAATAGTTCGAAGAACAACTTCAAGAAATATCAAAGATGTTCAAATACGTAAGTTATTTTCAAATCAATACTAAAATCATTATTGTTATGGTATTAAAGTAAATTTTTAATTAATTAAGGTTTTCCTCGTCTGTGCCATTTTGGCTATGGTTTATGCCGATCCAAAAGCAGAACCGAAGCCGAAACCCAGCGTAGGACACGATAGTTATGGTTATGGTTATGGTTACGGTCTTCCTTTGTATAATAATTACGGTTATCAAGGATATCCATGGTATCAAGCATACCACGGATATCCATCAGGTTACAGCTACCCATATTCGTATGGATACGATTACCCATCTTCGTACCATGGATATTCACATGGACACAGAAATTATTACTACTAAACTGTAAAGACGTATGTAACAAATACGTAAGTCAGCGTAATTTTTCTTGTTGAAAAATAAAAATGTATAAAAATAAGCTATATTGATAAATAATAAATGTTTGGAATATTTTATTATAAAAAAATTGTTATTGAATATTAGCCACCTTAACTTTAAATTTAAGGGTAAGTAGTAAACATTTCAAACATTTTCAAAAAATCGCACTTATTCTTTTATTGTAATGAAAACATCAGCACTTATAGAACAAATTATGAGCTTTTCAATGAAAGCGACCGATTTCCAAAATACCTTTTAGTTTTTGAGATATCCTTTATTAACGGTGGTATTTCTTATTTTAAAGGTAAACAACTTTTTTCGATCATATTCAAAAAATCATAACAAATCGACTTATTTTTTAATCGTTATGAAATCATCAGCATTTATAAAACAAATTATAAGCTTTTCAATGGAAAAGGGCGCATTCGAAAATATCTTTTAGTCTTTGAGATGTCAATTTTTGAATCTAACACTGTAATTTCTCGTTTTAAGGATTCACAATTTTTTTCAATCATTTTCAAAAAATCTTAATAAATTGACTTATTTTTGAATTGTAATGAAATCATCAGCACTTATAAAACAAATTATGAGCTTTTCAATGGAAAAGGACGCGTTCCAAAATATCTTTTAGTCTTTAAGATATCAATTTTTGAATCTAGCACTGTAATTTCTCGTTTTAAGGATACACAATTTTTTTCAATCATTTTCAAAAATCGTAATAAATTGACTTATTCTTTAATTGTAATGAAAACATAAGCACTTATAAAACAAATTATGAACTTTTCAATGAAAGCGGCCGATTTCCAAAATACCTTTTAGTTTTTGAGATATCCTTTATTCACTCTAACGGTGGTATTTCTTATTTTAAAGGTAAACAATTTTTTTCGATCATATTCAAAGAATCATAACAAATCGACTTATTGTTTAATCGTTATGAAATCATCAGCATTTATAAAACAAATTATAAGCTTTTTAATGGAAAAGGACGCGTTCCAAAATAGCTTGTAGTCTTTGAGATATCAATTTTTGAATCTAACACTAATTTCTCGTTTTAAGGATACACAATTTTTTTCAAACATTTTCAAAAAATCATAATAAATTGACTTATTCTTTAATTGTAATGAAAACATCAGCACTTATAGAAGAAATTATGAGCTTTTCAATGGAAAAAGACGCGTTCCAAAATATCTTTTAGTCTTTGAGATATCAATTTTTGAATCTAACACTGTAATTTCTCGTTTTAAGGTTACACAATTTTTTGCAATAATTTAAAAAAATCGTAATAAATTGACTTATTCTTTAATTGTAATGAAAACATCAGCACTTATAGAAGAAATTATGAGCTTTTCAGTGGAAAAAGACGCGTTCCAAAATATCTTTTAGTCTTTGAGATATTAATTTTTGAATTTAACACTGTAATTTCTCGTTTTAAGGATACACAATTTTTTTCAATCATTTAAAAAAATCGTAATAAATTGATTTATTCTTTAATTGTAATGAAATCATCAGCACTTATAAAACAAATTATGAGCTTTTCAATGGAAAAGGACGCGTTCCAAAATATCTTTTAGTTTTTGAGATATCAATTTTTGAATCTAACACTGTAATTTCTCGTTTTAAGGATACACCATTTTTTTCAATCATTTTCAAAAAATCGTAATAAATTGACTTATTCTTTAATTGTAATGAAATCATCAGCACTTATAAAACAAATTATGAGCTTTTCAATGGAAAAGGACGCGTTCCAAAATATCTTTTAGTCTTTGAGATATCAATTTTTGAATCTAACGCTGTAATTTCTCGTTTGACGGATACACAATTTTTCTCAAACATTTTCAAAAAATCGTAATAAATTGACTTATTCTTTAATTGTAATGAAATCATCAGCACTTATAAAACAAATTATGAGCTTTTCAATGAAAGCGACCGTTTTCCAAAATACCTTTTAGTTTTTGAGATATCCTTTATTAACTCTAACGGTGCTATTTCTCATTTTAAAGGTATACAATTTTCTTGGATCATATTCAAAGAATCATAACAAACTGACTTATTTTTTAATCGTTATGAAATCATCAGCATTTATAAAACAAATTATAAGCTTTTCAATAGAAAAGGACGCGTTCCAAAATATCTTTTAGTCTTTGAGATATCAATTTTTGAATATAACACTAATTTCTCGTTTTAAGGATACACAATTTTTTTCAAACATTTTCAAAAAATCGTAATAAATTGACTTATTCTTTAATTGTAATCAAATCATCAGCACTTATAAAACAAATTATGAGCTTTTCAATGGAAAAGGACGCGTTCCAAAATATCTTTTAGTCTTTGAGGTATCAATTTTTGAATTTAACACTGTAATTTCTCGTTTTAAGGGTTCACAATTTTTTTCAATCATTTTCAAAAAATCTTAATAAATTGACTTATTCTTTAATTGTAATGAAATCATCAGCACTTATAAAACAAATTATGAGCTTTTCAATGAAAGCGACCGCTTTCCAAAATACCTTTTAGTTTTTGAGATATCCTTTATTAACTCTAACGGTGCTATTTCTCATTTTAAAGGTAAACAATTTTCTTGGGTCATAGTCAAAGAATCATAACAAATCGACTTATTTTTTAATCGTTATGAAATCATCAGCATTTATAAAACAAATTATAAGCTTTTCAATGGAAAAAGACGCGTTCCAAAATATCTTTTAGTCTTTGAGATATCAATTTTTGAATCTAACACTATAATTTCTTGTTTTAAGGATACACAATTTTCTTGTATCATATTCAAAAAATCATAACAAATCGACTTATTTTTTAATCATTATGAAATTATCAGCAGTTATAAAACCAATTGTAAGCTTTTCAAAGAAAAAGACCGCAAAAATATCTTTTAGTTCTTAAAATATTAACTTTTAAACCTAACATTGCTACTTCTCATTTTTAAAGGTAAACAATTTTCTTCGATTACATTCAGTAATAAATCAACTAATTATTTAATCGTTACGAAATCATCAGCAGTTATAAAACAAATTATAAGCTTTTCAATGAAAAAGGCGGTGTTCAAAAATATCTTTTAGTTTTTGAGATATCAATTTTTGAATCTAACATTGACTGATCATTTTCAAAAATTCGTAATAAATCAACTTATTTTCTAATCGTTATGAAATTATAAACATTTATAAAACAAATTATAAGCTTTTCAATGAAAGCGACCACACCTCAAAACACCTTTTAGTTTTTGAGATATCCTTTATTAACTTTAACGGTGCTATATCTCATTTTAAAAGATAAACAATTTTCTTGGATCATATTCAAAAAATCATAACAAATCGACTTATTTTTTAATCATTATGAAATCATCAGCAGTTATAGAACAAATTACAAGCTTTTCAATGAAAGCGATCACACCTCAAAATACCTTTTAGTTCTTGAGATATTAACTTTTAAACCTAACATTGCTACTTCTCATTTTTAAAGGTAAACAATTTTCTTCGATTACATTGAATAATAAATCAACTAATTCCTTAATCGTTATGAAATTATCAGCATTTATAAAACAAATTATGAGCTTTTCAATGAAAAAGGCGGCGTTCCAAAATATCTTATAGTTTTTGAGATATCAATTTTTGAATCTAACACTGTCTGATCATTTTCAAAAATTCGTAATAAATCTCTTTATTTTTTAATCATTATGAAATCATCAGCATTTATAAAACAAATTATAAGCTTTTCAATAAAACTGACAACTTTCCAAAGTACCTTTTAGTTTTTGAGATATCCTTTATTAACTCTAACGGTGCTATTTCTCATTTTGAAGGATAAACAATTTTCTTGAATCATATTCAAAAAATCATAACAAGTCGACTTATTTTTTAATCATTATGAAATCATCAGCAGTTATAAAACAAATTATAAGCTTTTCAATGAAAAAGGCGGCATACCAAAATATCTTATAGTTTTTGAGATATCAATATTTCAATTCAACATTGTAATTTCTCATTTTAAGAGTAACTAATTTTCTTTAATCATTTTCAAAAAATCGTAATAAATCAACAAATTCTTTAATCGTCATGAAATTATCAGCATTTATAAAACAAATTATGAGCTTTTCAATGAAAAAGGTCGCTTTTAAAAATATCTTTTAGTTTTTGAGATATCAATTTTTCAATGTAACATTCTTAATTTTATGTATTATAAACTTGAATCATTTTGAGGTTTAAGAATCAATTTTTTTTCATTGTTGTCAAATCTTCAATTAATTTAAATTTATTTTGATTAACATTTTAAAAATAAATGCTTACAATCTGAATCAAATTACATAGCCGGAATTGGTACTTTTCCCGAATCTTCTTAATTCAAAATTTAGTATATCAATTAAAATATAAACGACGGAAAAAAACATAAATAATTTTGACCGATTTTATTTTGAGGTCAATCGTAGAACTGTTACCGATAATTTTCCGACTACTATATAAGATCCTCCTATTTCGATGATAGATCAGTATTCCAACAACTTTATAATCCACAAGATTACAAATATCAAGAAGAAAAATCAAATTTCAAAATGTTCAAATCAGTAAGTTTTTTTAAAATAATATTTCGGTTCTTTCTTGTTAATATATTAAATAATTCATTTCTTTTTCGTAGATTTATGCGTTCGTTTTAATCTTTGCCGTGGTTTTCGCCGCACCAGAACCGGATCCTACACCCAAACCTAACGTTTTTGTGACATCTCACGTTTCAACACCTATAAGTTACATCTCTACGCCACACGTGTTCAGATCCTTATCACCATACACATACGTAAATTTTTTTCGACCATCGTATTTCCATTCCTACAAACCCTACGGTTTATCTACGTATTATACATACAGCTAAAAGATTTTTATAAGCTTATTATAAAGTATATTGAAGATTTTGTACGGCTTTTTTACCCAAGTTATCGTTTGAAATGTATCTTTTTTTGTTCTGATCAAATAAAAGTACAAGAATTGAGGTAAAATATTTGTTTTCTTTTTGAAAATTTTATGGTTGAAACCTTAAACTGTTGAGTTAATTGTGATTAAATGAAAAATAAATTGTTTTTAATGATTTATTACAAAAACATAATTCCAATCTCAACGTGTTCAAACATGACCGATGGTTTGAATTGGATTGTATCCAGCGTGATTATATCCTCCAAAATTTGGAACTGTGTCAATATCTCCTGAGTGGTAACCATTTGATGATGGTACGTATTGACCTCCAACATTTCCTGGATAAGGAACACTGCCATGCTGGAGATAAGAAGAAGCACCTCCTGTATAAGATGATGGGATATAACTTAATTGACTGGATACTTGCGGGGAAACATAAGGAACTTGGGAAACTGATGCGGCACTAATTCCTGAGTAACTTAAGGGTTGTGAAATTGGAACTGAAGGGAATTGAGTTCCAATATGACCATGCCCAATTGGTTGAGAGTAACCAAAGTTGTGTCCCTGGTTTTCATAGTAAGATGGTTTAGCTTCAGATTTCGGATTAGCAATAGGAGAAGCTGTGGTTACAGCAACGAAGAAGGTAAGAAGTACAAACTAAAAAAGATATAAATCAATAAAAAGTAATTAAAAAACACAAATACTTACGTATTTAACCATCTTTCTAATATTTAATATTAGAGAACTGTTGAGAATGGAATGATTTTTAACGGGACCAAACTACTCTTTTATACTAACCTAACAAAATTATAAAATCGGTAAAAGTCCGGTTGATATTCCAAAGGTGAGTTCATGATAATTTTCCAGTTTGTTTTTGACACATGTGGTCAATAAATTAACAGGAAGCGGTAAGGAAGAGAGATTTAGATGGGCATTTTGGATTATAGTTTTTTCATCTCCGCACGTGTAGATTTAAAAGCATATAAAAAAGCACGAAATTAAAAGAGGTTCTTAAAAGAAAATTTAAATATAGATTTGGGACGTCGTTAAATTCTTAATACTGCTACTAGACGTGGAAGCAGATTTTCTTACGAATTCTACGATGCGAAACGAATTTCTAAAAAGAACGGTCCAGATAGGATTTAGATTGAACGTTGATGCAATGCAATGTGCCGTTATGATCGTAACACTTGTATAACACAAAAACTTTTTTATAAAATTTTATGAATCAACTTACAAACTTTTGTATGATCTTAAAGTTCAGCATTTAATAACCAATAATTAGGTTTTGTTTAAAACAAATGTATCTCAATAATGTTATGGAGCAAACCATAAACCTTTACATAAACTTGAAGCAGATACTTTAAGCTTTAATTTGATACAAAAATCATTTGTTAATTCCTATAAATAAAGTAGGAGTGATTTCTTAAAGTTTGACGTTTTTAAAGATACAATCACTAATACCAAATAGTTAGGTTTTGTTTAAAACAAATGTATCTTATTAATGTTATGGAGCAAACCATAAACCTTTACATGACCTTGAAGCAGATAATGTTAGCTTTAATTTAATACAAAAATCGTTTGCTAATTCCTATAAATAAAGTAGGAGTGATTTCTTAAAGTTTGACGATTCTAAAGATACAATCACAAATGCCCAATAGTTAGGTTTTGTTTAAAACAAATGTATCTTATTAATGTTATAGAGCAAACCATAAACCTTTACATAATCTTGAAGCAGATACTTTAAGCTTTAATTTGATACAAAAATCATTTGTTAATTCCCATAAATAAAGTAGGAGTGATTTCTTAAAGTTTGACGTTTTTAAAGATACAATCACTAATACCCAATAGTTAGGTTTTGTTTAAAACAAATGTATCTCATTAATGTTATGGAGCAAACCATAAACCTTTACATAATCTTGAAGCAGATACTTTAAGCTTTAATTTAATACAAAAATCGTTTGTTAATTCCTATAAATAAAGTAGGAGTGATTTCTTAAAGTTTGACGTTTCTAAAGCTACAATCACTAATGCCCAATAGTTACGTTTTGTTTAAAAGAAATGTATTTCATTAATGTTATGGGGCAAACCATAAACCTTTACATGGTCTTGAAGCAGGTACTTTAAGCTTTAATTTAATACAAAAATCGTTTGTTAATTCCTATAAATAAAGTGGGAGTGATTTCTTAAAGTTTGACGTTTTTAAAGATACAATCACTAATACCCAATAGTTAGGTTTTGTTTAAAACAAATGTATCTCATTAATGTTATGGAGCAAACCATAAACCTTTACATGACCTTGAAGCAGATACTTTAAGCTTTAATTTAATACAAAAATCGTTTGTTAATTCCTATAAATAAAGTAGGAGTGATTTCTTAAAGTTTGACGTTTCTAAAGATACAATCACTAATACCCAATAGTTAGATTTTGTTTAAAACAAATGTATCTCATTAATGTTATGGAGCAAACCATAAACCTTTATATGGTCTTGAAGCAAATACTTTAAGCTTTAGTTTAATACAAAAATCGTTTGCTAATTCCTATAAATAAAGTAGGAGTGATTTCTTAAAGTTTGACGTTTTTAAAGATACAATCACTAATACCCCAATAGTTAGGTTTTGTTTAAAACAAATGTATCTCATTAATGTTATGGAGCAAACCATAAACCTTTACATGATCTTGAAGCAGATACTTTTAGCTTTAATTTAATATAAAAATCGTTTGTTAATTCCCATAAATAAAGTAGGAGTGATTTCTTAAAGTTTGACGTTTTTAAAGATACAATTACTAATGCCCAATAGTTAGGTTTTGTTTAAAACAAATGTATCTCATTAATGTTATATAGCAAACCATAAACCTTTACATAATCTTGAAGCAGATACTTTAAGCTTTAATTTGATACAAAAATCATTTGTTAATTCCTATAAATAAAGTAGGAATGATTACCTATTATTAGTATTAGTGATGATGTACCTCATTAATGTTATGGAGCAAACCATAAACCTTTACATAATCTTGAAGCAGATACTTTAAGCTTTAATTTAATACAAAAATCGTTTGTTAATTCCTATAAATAAAGTAGGAGTGATTTCTTAAAGTTTGACGTTTTTAAAGATACAATCACTAACACCCAATAGTTAGGTTTTGTTTAAAACAAATGTATATCATTAATGTTATGGAGCAAACCATAAACTTTTACATAATCTTGAAGCAGATACTTTAAGCTTTAATTTAATATAAAAATCGTTTGTTAATTCCCATAAATAAAGTAGGAGTGATTTCTTAAAGTTTGAGATTTTTAAATATATAATCATTAATGCCGAATAGTTAGGTTTTGTTTAATACAACAGTATCTCCTTAATGTTGTGGAGCAAAAAAATAAACCTTTACATAATCTTGAAGCAGATACTTTAAGCTTTAATTCAATACAAAAATCGTTTGTTAATTCCTATAAATAAAGTTAGAGTGATTTCTTAAAGTTTGACGTTTCTAAAGATACAATCACTAATGCCCAATAATTAGGTTTTGTTTAAAACAAATGTGTCTCATTAATGTTATGGAGCAAACCATAAACCTTTACATAATCTTGAAGCAGATACTTTAAGCTTTAATTTAATACAAAAATCGTTTGTTAATTCCTATAAATAAAGTAGGAATGATTTCTTAAAGTTTGACGTTTTTAAAGATATAATGCCCAATAGTTAGGTTTTGTTTAAAACAAATATATCTCATTAATGTTATGGAGCAAACCATAAACCTTTATATGATCTTGAAGCAGATACTTTTAGCTTTAATTTAATATAAAAATCGTTTGTTAATTCCTATAAATAAAGTAGGAGTGATTTCTTAAAGTTTGACGTTTTTAAAGATACAATCACTAATGTCCAATAGTTAGGTTTTGTTTAAAACAAATGTATCTCTTTAATGTTATGGAGCAAACAATAAACCTTTACATAATCTTGAAGCAGATACTTTAAGCTTTAATTTGATACAAAAATCATTTGTTAATTCCTATAAATAAAGTAGGAGTGATTTCTTAAAGTTGGACGTTTTTAAAGATATAATGCCCAATAGTTAGGTTTTGTTTAAAACAAATATATCTCATTAATGTTATGGAGCAAACCATAAACCTTTACATGATCTTGAAGCAGATACTTTTAGCTTTAATTTAATACAAAAATCGTTTGCTAATTCCTATAAATAAAGTAGGAGTGATTTCTTAAAATTTGACGATTCTAAAGATACAATCACAAATGCCCAATAGTTAGGTTTTGTTTAAAACAAATGTATCTTATTAATGTTATAGAGCAAACCATAAACCTTTACATAATCTTGAAGCAGATACTTTAAGCTTTAATTTAATACAAAAATCGTTTGTTAATTCCTATAAATAAAGTAGGAGTGATTTCTTAAAGTTTGACATTTTTAAAGATACAATCACTAACACCCAATAGTTAGGTTTTGTTTAAAGCAAATGTATCTTATTAATGTTATGGAGCAAACCGTAAACCTTTCGATGATCTTGAAGCAGATACTTTAAGCTTTAATTTAATACAAAAATCGTTTGCTAATTCCTATAAATAAAGTAGGAGTGATTTCTTCAAGTTTGACGTTTTTAAAGATACAATCCCCTACTAATCCCCTACTAATCCCCTACTAACACCCAATAGTTAGGTTTTGTTTAAAACAAATGTATCTCATTAATGTTATGGAGCAAACCATAAACCTTTACATGGTCTTGAAGCAGATACTTTAAGCTTTAATTTAATACAAAAATCGTTTGTTAATTCCTATAAATAAAGTAGGAGTGATTTCTTAAAGTTTGACGTTTTTAAAGATACAATCACTAATGTCCAATAGTTAGGTTTTGTTTAAAACAAATGTATCTGATTAATGTTATGAAACAAACCATAAACCTTTACATAATCTTGAAGCAGATACTTTAAGCTTTAATGTAATACAAAAATTATATGCTAATTCTTATAAATAAAGCAGAAGTATTTTTTTAAAGTATGACGTTTTTAAAGATACAATCACTAATACCCAATAGTTAGGTTTTGCTTAAAACAAATGTATCTTATTAATGTTATGGAGCAAACGATAAACCTTTACATAATCTTGAAGCAGATACTTTAAGCTTTAATTTAATACAAAAATCGTTTGTTAATTGCTATAAATAAAGTAGGAGTGATTTCTTAAAGTTTGACATTTTTAAAGATACAATCACTAATACCCAATAGTTGGGTTTTGTTTAAAACAAATGTATCTCATTAATGTTGATTAACACTTATAATTAAAAAGAAATAAATCATTTAGAAATATTTATTTATATATTTACATATTTTTACAATATTAAAATCCATGTAAACAAACTTTGTACAAGTCAGAACAACATAAAAATCGAGGCTATTGAATCAATCTAAATTTGAAACGATTTCAAAACTCCTCGTAGTTACCTTATAAGGCTTAAAGATAAGCTGGTGCTACGTATCCTGCAGCTGGGTAAGGAGCTACAGGAAGGGAATAAGGAGCTGCGTATGGAGATACGTAACGAGCTGCATAAGGAGAAACGTAAGGAGATGCTGCTGGGACGGTGTAAGGTAAATTGTATGGAGATACATAAGGAGCAGAAGCAACAACAGGGGATGGGGCTACATAAGGAGATGGAGCAAGGTAAGGTGTTTGGGCTACATATGGTGCTGGGGCTACATAGGGAGATGGAGCAACAAGTGGAGCTGCAGGAGCAACCGCTTTAACAATTGGTGCAGCAGCTAATGGTGCTGTTTTAAGAACGGGAGCTGCTACGACCGGTGCTGATTTTACAACGGGGGCGGCTACAACTGGTGCTGCTGCTACAACCGGGGCTGCAAGAGTGTTGTAATTCCTAGCGATGTATTGGGAGCTTTGAGCTGTAACAACAGCTGGTGCAACAACTGGAGCAACAACCCCCGGGGCTGCTTGAGANAAGTTTGACGTTTTTAAAGATACAATCACTAATGCCCAATAGTTAGGTTTTGTTTAAAACAAATGTATCTCATTAATGTTATGGAGGAAACCATAAACCTTTATATAATCTTGAAGCAGATACTTTAAACTTTAATTTAATACAAAAATTATATGCTAATTCTTATAAATAAAGCAAAAATAATTTTTTTTAAATTTGACATTTTTAAAGATACAATCACTAATACCCAATAGTTAGGTTTTGTTTGAAAGAAATGTATCTCATTAATGTTATGGAGCAAAAGTGATATTTTAGACATTTTTTGCGATTCTTCTCAACTTTGTGGCAACAACCCCAGTTCCAGAACCAAAACCTGGATTAAGCAGTTCATCAATTATTTACTCAGTACCCATAACTATCGCGGAACCCATCACTTTGGATCTTTCGCTTTATACCCCTCAATTCGTTTACACATCAATTACTGTTGTAAAATTTGGTTGGTGGTAAATAAGGATAAAGACGTGTATAATATATCATGTTATATAAAGTTATTATTAATATTGATTAACACTTATAATTAAAAAGAAATAAATCATTTAGAAATATTTATTTATATATTTACATATTTTTACAATATTCAAATCCATATAAACAAACTTTGTACAAGTCAGAACAACATAAAAATCGAGGCTATTGAATCAATCTAAATTTGAAACNTTTTAAAGATACAATCACTAATACCCAATAGTTAGGTTTTGTTTAAAACAAATGTATCTCATTAATGTTATGGAGCAAACCATAAACCTTTACATGATCGTGAAGCAGATACTTTAAGCTTTAATTTAATACAAAAATTATATGCTAATTCTTACAAATAAAGTAGAAGTAATCTTTTAAAGTTCAACGTTTTTAAAGATACAATTACTAATACCCAATATTAGGTTTTGTTTAAAACAAATGTATCTCATTAATGTTATGGAGCAAACCATAAACCTTTACATAGCCTTGAAGCAGATACTTTAAGCTTTAATTTAATACAATCATCGTTTGTTAATTCCTATAAATAAAGTAGGAGTGATTTCTTAAAGTTTGACGTTTTTAAAGATACAAACACTAATGCCCAATAGTTACGTTTTGTTTAAAATAAATCTCATTAATGTTATGGAGCAAGCCATAAACTTTTACATAATCTTGAAGCAGATACTTTAAACTTTAATTTAAAACAAAAATTATATGCTAATTCTTATAAATAAAGTAGAAGTGATGTTTTAAAGTTTGCCGTTTTTAAAGATACAATCACTAATACCCAATAGTTAGGTTTTGTTTAAAACAAATATATCTCATTAATGTTATGGAGCAAATCATAAACCTTTACATAAGTTTGAAGCAGATACTTTAAACTTTAATTTAATACAAAAATCGTTTGCTAATTCCTATAAATAAAGTAGGTGTGATTTCTTAAAGTTTGACGTTTTTAAAGATGTAATTTTGAATAACCAATACTTAGGTTGTATTTAAAAAAACTGTATCTCATTTATTTTATGGACTAAAACATAAAGCATTACATGGTCTTGAAGAAGATACTTCAAGCTTTATTTTAACATAAAAATAGTTTGTTAGTTGCTATAAATAAAGTAGAAATGATGGTTGAAAGTTTGACATTTTAAAGATGTCATGATAGAGTTAGGTTTTATTTAAAAAATTCTTTTTTCATTAATTATATAGATCAACCAACAAATGCTTATATGGTCTTGAAGCAGATGCTTTAGGCTTTAATTTAATATAAAAATCATTAGTTAATTCCTATAATTAAAGCAGTCATGACTCTTTAAAGTTTGGCATTTTTAAAGATGTCATGATTAATAGCTAAGAGTTAGGCTTCGTTTAAAAAATTCTTTTCGCCTTAATTATGTGGATCTAACCATAAAACTTTATATGGTCTTGAAGTAGATACTTTAAGTTTTAATTTAGTATAAAAAGCAATTATTAATTCCTACAATTAAAGTAAACATGACTTCTTGAAGTTTAATTTGCCTTTTTCTCATTAATTTTATGGATCAATCCATAAATTTTTATGTTGCCCTAAAATAGATATTTTAAGTTTTAATTTAATATAAAAATCGTTTGTTAATTCCCATAAATAAAGCAGAAATGATTTTTTAAAGTTTGAAGTAAATAAATGTTATAAAAAAGTTTAAATAACCATTTACGGTGTTATATTAAATTAAACCAAACGTGAAAACAGATTTTCTTAGGAATTCTTTGGCACGAGATCGAATTTCTAAAAAGGACGTGCCAGTTCTGGTTTAGAATGCGCGTTGCTACACTGCATGAGTATTTTCCACTTAATGAAAATACGTATTTGGACGTTCAATCGTATATAAATGGTACGTGATATAAATCAGAATAATTTTCCAATTCAAATTTCCCAATTTTACATTAACCTTGTTTTTGCAAATGAAGATTTCTAAAATTCGTGATAATATTTATTAATTAAAAATATAAATAAACGTTTATATATTAAAAATTTGTTATTAAGAATTACCATAAAAAGAAATCACAAACATATTGCAACAAATTAAATGTAATTTATCCTTGATCTGGCCAAATAAGCAGTATTTTCTCCCAGAATCTGATCTTAGCTAGTATAAATACAATGTGATCGCACCAAGGAGTATTAATTTGAAGTGAAGATTCAACGAACAATAACTAAAATGTTGAAATTGGTGAGTTTTAAAGTTTCTAAAAATAATTAATTTTCTAAAAGTGATATTTTAGACATTTTTTGCGATTCTTCTCAACTTTGTGGCAACAACCCCAATTCCAGAACCAAAACCTGGATTAATCAGCTCATCAATTATTTACTCAGTACCCATAACCATCGCGGAACCCATCACTTTGGATCCTTCGCTTTATGCCCCTCAATTCGTTTACACACCAATTACTGTTGTAAAATCTGGTTGGTGGTAAATAAGATTTGATTGAGATGTGTATATATTATGTTATATAAAGTTATTATTAATATTGATTAACACTTATAATTAAAAAGAAATAAATCATTTAGAAATATTTATTTATATATTTACATATTTACAACTTTGTACAAGTCAGAACTACATAAAAATCGAGGCTATTGAATCAATCTAAATTTGAAACGATTTCAAAACTCCTCGTAGTGACATTATAAGGCTTAAAGGTAAGCTGGTGCTACGTATCCTGCAGCTGTGTAAGGAGCTACAGGGAGCGAATAAGGAGCTGCGTATGGAGAAACGTAACGAGCTGCATAAGGAGAAACGTAAGGAGATGCTGCTGGGACGGTGTAAGGTAAGTTGTATGGAGATACATAAGGAGCAGAAGCAACAACAGGGGATGGGGCTACATAAGGAGATGGAGCAAAGTATGGTGTNTAAACTTTAATTTAATACAAAAATTATATGCTAATTCTTATAAATAAAGCAAAAATAATTTTTTTTAAATTTGACATTTTTAAAGATACAATCACTAATACCCAATAGTTAGGTTTTGTTTGAAAGAAATGTATCTCATTAATGTTATGGAGCAAAAGTGATATTTTAGACATTTTTTGCGATTCTTCTCAACTTTGTGGCAACAACCCCAGTTCCAGAACCAAAACCTGGATTAAGCAGTTCATCAATTATTTACTCAGTACCCATAACTATCGCGGAACCCATCACTTTGGATCTTTCGCTTTATACCCCTCAATTCGTTTACACATCAATTACTGTTGTAAAATTTGGTTGGTGGTAAATAAGGATAAAGACGTGTATAATATATCATGTTATATAAAGTTATTATTAATATTGATTAACACTTATAATTAAAAAGAAATAAATCATTTAGAAATATTTATTTATATATTTACATATTTTTACAATATTCAAATCCATATAAACAAACTTTGTACAAGTCAGAACAACATAAAAATCGAGGCTATTGAATCAATCTAAATTTGAAACGATTTCAAAACTCCTCGTAGTTACATTATAAGGCTTAAAGATAAGCTGGTGCTACGTATCCTGCAGCTGGGTAAGGAGCTACAGGAAGGGAATAAGGAGCTGCGTATGGAGATACGTAACGAGCTGCATAAGGAGAAACGTAAGGAGATGCTGCTGGGACGGTGTAAGGTAAATTGTATGGAGATACATAAGGAGCAGAAGCAACAACAGGGGATGGGGCTACATAAGGAGATGGAGCAAAGTATGGTGTTTGGGCTACATATGGTGCTGGGGCTACATAGGGAGATGGAGCAACAAGTGGAGCTGCAGGAGCAACCGCTTTAACAATTGGTGCAGCAGCTAATGGTGCTGCTTTAAGAACGGGAGCTGCTACGACCGGTGCTGATTTTACAACGGGGGCGGCTACAACTGGTGCTGCTGCTGCTACAACCGGGGCTGTAAGAGTGTTGTAATTCCTAGCGATGTATTGGGAGCTTTGAGCTGTAACAACAGCTGGTGCAACAACTGGAGCAACAACCCCCGGGGCTGCTTGAGAAGTAGCCACTAAAGCCAAAGTAACCAAAATCTACACAAAGAAAAATTTTTAAATCCTCTTTTTATAATCGTTAATTTTTGATACTCACAAACTTGTACATGTTGTTGGTGGTTTTGTTGTTGGTGTGTTGATGATACCACTGTAGGTGATGTTCTGACTCTTTTTTCGAACGGTTCACTATTTATAGTGATGTAAAGATAGTGAGTGAAACGAATTTCTTTTGCAATGAGGTTTGGTAACGAAACGGCCACATTTGACGATGTTAGCATTATAAACGATTGTGTCCAAAAACCTTCATTGATATTCATTTTGCGTACGTTTACACAGATTTTAAATCGATTTAGATTTTATATAACTTGGCACTTTGTAATTTATTTATAGAGTATTAGATGATGAAAAATTAATAATTGTTTATATTACATTTAATATTTCTTAAAAATCTCGTCACACACAAAAAATTAAAATTCATTGCAAGTGCAAGTTGTACGACTTTCAGTCTCTTAGAATAACAATACGCCTTAAGAGTGTCATGATACAAGTTCAACAGTGAAAGTGTAGCTTCGAGAACTTTAGAAATAATATTTGTTTGTCTATACTTTTTTAACGATTCTAAAAATACATAATTTATTTTAATATAATAGTTTAATATCACTGCAAATTCCCGAAATGTGAAAGATTACCGCACAAAATAATAATTTACATATTAACGACTTACTTCTATTAACATAACGGAGTGGAAAATAAATCATTCAGGAAAATTTAAATTACAACTAATCTACATATTTGTAATAAATAATTTTAATATAGAACTGTCAAAAAATTTGCAATATAAACACGATTTTCGATACCAAATCCGGAAATCGAAAATCGATTTCTCCTACTTCCATCTTTTGAAGACGGCGAAGGGTGGCGGGTCGCTTATAAAAACGCCAACCTTGACACTTGAAAGCATTGTAAATCTTCGCTTCATTCACACCACCACCTCAAGTGTTCCAACAGGAAATTTCAAGTCAAAATGGTCGCTTCAAAAGTAAGTTTAACTTTCACTTCAAAACTTTCACTCAAATATACTCTACTTATGTTGCATTTTAATCAATCAATTTCTATTTTGGTAATAATTTGCTTTTTATTTTAGATTTTGGCAGTTATTTTACTAGCAGTGGCTTGTAGTGTTAATGCTAGTATAGTAGCAGCGCCCGCTGTCCATCACGTAGCCTATCACAGAGCAATTCCATACAACGTACTTCCTTTTGCTAACAGCGTCAATGTATTTACAAGAAATTTAGCGTCACCAGTATATCCAGCATATCGCACCGCCGTATTTAGACAACCAGGATTTTATCCAGGATTTACTCCTGCTATAGCACCAGTTGCGCCAGTAGCTCCAGTTGCAAAAGTTTCATCCTTTTTACCGGCACCATTTGTAGCTCCAAGTGTTGTTCCAGCACCTGTTGCTCCAGTAGCTCATTCAGTACAACCTGTAGTTGCTCAAGGTGTAGCACCTATTCCTGCAGGTGTTGCACCAGCTTATGTTAATGGTTATGCTAATGCTTATCCAGCTCCAGTTGTAAGAGCTGTTAATCCTTATTACCCCGGTTTCGTTCCTGCACCAATCAATCCAGCAATTGGTAGATCAATTCATGCCGTTGCTCCTGCAGCTGCTGTTGCTCAAGGTGTTCCTGTAGCTCATGGTGTTCCTGTAGCTCATGGTGTTCCTGTAACTCATGGTGTTCCTGTAACTCATGGTGTTCCTGTGGCTCATGGTGTTCCTGTAACTCATGGTGTTCCTGTAGATCCTGCAGCACCTGTTGTAGCACAAGCACAATATATAGGAAAATAAGTCATAAAAATTAATTTGAATAGATGAAGAAATGTTGTGATTTTAAATGTTAATATTAATAATATTAGTAATAGTTTTATATTTTTATATTAAGAAAAATAAATGGTTTAAAGTAAACTGAATTTATTATTATTTTTGCGTTGATTTTACACATTTGATTGCTTTGAAAAAGAGACAAAGTGAATCGGTATTTTTATAAGGTTATCTTTAAAAATTAATATCTCAAAAATCAATCTCAAATCGAGATATCAAAAAATGGTTTTCACCATATGAAGTATTGGGAATTCCAAATAATTTTAACAATTAATTTCTCAAAAACGAATCGAGATATTAAGAAACGGTTTTTACGGTTAAAATCTTTTAGGCATACTAAATTAACACTCCAAATTTCATTCTTCCAATTTCAGTCACAACTGTGAAATAAATTTATGAATTCAACACTAAAAAAATGTGTCAATGTAAATCATTAGTGGCACTTTGTTCAATCTTCCACAGTAGCAGTCCACTGAAGGTGAAGTGTAATAATCGGGGCACACCCTGCTGGAATGAATCTCTTAGTTTCGAAAGACAAGAGGTCCGGAGGTTTTTTAACCGGGCCAAGACATTAGGTGAATGGGAACCAAGTTCTAACGAATTACAGCAAAAATATTCGTATGACAAAAAGAGAGTCTTGGAGAAGGTTCTGTAAAGGAGTGAAAGACATACCCAGCAGTGCAAGAATTCACAAGATTCTCACTACAGATCCAGGCCTCACTTAAGCGGACTGATGGTAGTTTTACGGACTCCAGCAGAGCCTGGTTAGAGCTTATCATGCAGACTCACTTCCCAGGAAGCTTGATGATGGGGGCTGATAATGTCACAACGAGCTATTCCTACATGGCAAAGCGCCCCTCAAATACGGATTGGAGTGTGGCTAGAAAAGTCGTCACTTGCACATCCGTCGACCAGGTGATTCAAACAACAACAAGGAAGGTCACTAATGTTGCCTATTTTGGTAAAAATTTTCAAAGCAAATGTTGCCTGGAAATATGTAGCGGCAGAATGGACTAAGGTAAGGGTATCTTATATACCTAAAGCGGGTCGTTCGGTCCCTACTCCTAATGCCTTTCGACCCAACAGCTTGACGTCATTTCTGTTGAAATCCCTTGAAAAAGTTCTGGAAGCAACTATAGCGGGTTGGATCCGCAATATGCTTGTAAGTTTGACGCCTTTTCAAACTAGACCGTCTGTACATTCACCATACGAATAGTGTTGACGGTTGGTGGAGAAGATCCCTGTTATCGATAGTGTACCGGTTTGGTCGGTTCGGTTCGTCTCGTGACACCGAGAGGGAGTCGCGGAGAGAGANTTCAATCTTCCACAGTAGCAGTCCACTGAAGGTGAAGTGTAATAATCGGGGCACACCCTGCTGGAATGAATCTCTTAGTTTCGAAAGACAAGAGGTCCGGAGGTTTTTTAACCGGGCCAAGACATTAGGTGAATGGGAGTAATATAAACAAGCTCTAACGAATTACAGCAAAAATATTCGTATGACAAAAAGAGAGTCTTGGAGGAGGTTCTGTGAGGAAGTGAAAGACATACCCAGCAGTGAAAGAATTCACAAGATTCTCGTTAGAGATCCGGGCCTCACTTAAGCGGACTGATGGTAGTTTTACGGACTCCAGCAGAGCCTGGTTAGAGCTTATCATGCAGACTCACTTCGCAGGAAGCTTGATGATTAATCCGCCCAGCTATCCAAGGTGAAGAAATTCCTTTCTCAACAGAAGTCAAATATCTAGCAGTAATCCTAGACAAAACCCTCTCATGGAATTGACATTTGCAAGAAGTTTTGCACAAAGCGAGACTATCCTTGTGGAGTTGTCGTAACCTTTGTGGGAAAAAATCTTACCCCTGAAAGACTGTACTGACTCTATATGAGTGTAGTTACACCTAAGATCACATACGGAGCAGCAGCCTAGTATAGGAAAGTCTGACAGACTTCAGTTTTCAGTAAACTTTCATGCATTCAACGAGTAGCTGGATTGGCAATCTATGGTGCGATAAGCACAACGCCAACTCTAGCAATGGAGATTCTGCTTGGCTTGTCTCCTTTGCATTTGCATATAGAGAAAATGGCTAGAACTACCATTTACAGATTTAAGCAATATGCTCAAAACTGTTCCGACATATCCGACCAATGGGCTGCGGAAAACATTATAAGCACTGATAATGTGAATGAAAACACATTATGTAAAACGAAAATTCTCTGGATCAGGCAGATATTTACATGTTCACAGATGGATCAAAAACGCCGGAAGGGGTCGAAGTAGGAGTATACTGCCAGACACCTCGAATTAAGCAGACTGGGTACGTACTGTACCGTATTCCAGCCGGAAGTATTTGGTATTGAGATGGGTGCTAAAATCCTTCTTGAAAGAGGGGTGAAGAACATGACATTACGAATTTTCTCAGACAGTCAAGCCGCTCTCCAGGTGCTGTAAGTCGTGAAAACGGTGTCGGCTCTGGTTAATGACTGTAAGAGAACATTAAACACACTGAATTGTGATACTGATAATAGAGTTTCTTTGATCTGGGTCCCAGGTCATTCTGGGGTTGCTGGCAATGAAGCGGCAGATGAGCTAACACGAGAGAGCAGTGCTAAAACGTTTGTGGGGCCAGAATCAGCAGTTGGTGTACCATTTACGATGGCTAAACATAGGATTGGACTGTAGGCTGAAGAGAGACTTCGCCTACTGTGGAGCAGTTCTCCTGGAATGAGACATGCTAAGGTGTTTATTAACATCGTCACTGTCAAACTCGGGAATATTTCAGGACTTGCTCGTTACAGATGAGGAGGCGGTTGAGCATGTTTTATGCTACTGCCCTACTGTTAATCGTATCAGATTCTGAATTTTGGGGTTGCAGTTTATCTCCCCAAAAGGATCTGAATGATTTTTCACCGAGCAAGGTGTTAGTGGGACAGCACGGTGAAGCTTGATAACGTTATCTATCTGGGTACAATAAGTCCTTAGGGTCGCAGTGCAAGGTTGGGTGACCACCCGATATGTAATCTATGTCAGTGGTTCCCAACCGGTGGTTCGCGAACTCCCGGGGGTTCACGAGCTGTTTCAAAAGGGTTCGCAATAATAATATTATAATGCCGGAATTTTAGAGAAGTAGTTGAAAAGTAAAAACTGACAAAACAATAGAACTAAAAGATTTAAAACAATTTATAAGACTTTATATATTATAAAGTTGCATAGATATAAAAACAGCAATTTATTGCGTGTCCACCAGATTTTGCTTTAATTAAAAAATTATTGTTACCAGAAAAATTATTAACTGTAATACCTTTAATATCAAAGTAATGCCATCTCTCCAAGGAAAGAATCAGAACCTTAGCCGCTTTGTGTAATTTGCAATGAAATGCTTGCTAACAGCAGCTTAAAACCATCATTTCTTCGTCGACCCCTTGGAACTAAACATCCGACATACAAGGATAAACCTGTCAAGTATTTTAGAAGACAATTGGCTGATTATAGAAAGAGTAGTGTATCTTCTTTTCTGTCAGCTTCAAAGAAAGATAGTAAAATGGCGCTTGAGGCATCATTTCGAGTAAGCTATAGAATTGCAAAATCTGGACAGGCACATACAATTGCAGAAAATTTAATTGGACCATATGCAAACGATATTGCAAATTGTATGCTTAGAGAAAAGGCATAAAGAAATTTAACCTAGTTTCTTTATCAAATAATAGGCAAGTAATGTGAAGAATGAGCTTTTAAAAAGAATTGAATTGCATTATTTTTTGATCCACTTGACGAGTCGGCCGATGTAGAAAACGCTGCAATATTGCTTGTGTATGTTGCATGAATTTTTGAGAATTCCATTCTTATTGTGTGTGTGTATGCACAGATTGTGCAAAATTAATGACAGGAAAATTTTCTGCTTTTGTGGCACGGGTAAAGAAGATTAACGAAACAATTGAATGGACAGATTGCTGTATACATAGACAAGCATTGGCATGTAAGCGTATTCCTACTGAACTATCTACTACTTTAAGTGATGCTGTAAAATCGCGATCTATTAATTCCCGTCTATTGCATGCGCTTTATGTTTTATGACTTTGGAAGCCATTACGTTTCTTTATTACTTCACACGGAAGTTAGATGGCTTTCCTGTGGCAAAGTTTTGACACACCTGTTTGAGTTAAAATCTGAAGTCCAAGTATTTCTTATTGACTATCCATTTTATTTATCTTCTTGTCTATCTGATATTCTTTGGTTGAAGAAGATTGCATATTTAGCTGATATATTTTGTAAATTAAATGAATTAAATTTATCACAGGTTTCATCATCTTCGGTGTGCATGATAGAATTGAATCCATACTAAAAAAGTTTAACTTTTGGATCCAATGTCTGCGGATGAATGAGTACAAATATTTTAGTTCTCTCAGCAGCTTTTTATCCGAAAATTCAGAATAATCCTTTCCAAAAAGATCTAAATTTGGAGATCTCTCTAACTTTACTGCAAAAAGCAAAACTTATTGAGTTATCCTGTGATAGCTCTTTAAAAGCGATTTTTAAAGAGCACTCTTTAATAAACTTTTGGCTCGGTGGTGGAAATGAATACGCAATTTTGTCAGAAAAAGCTACCAAACTTTTATTACCTTTTTGCATAACATATCTATGTGAGAAAGGATTTTCCACATATACTTACTTGAAAGATAAATACAGAAACAAATTAAATACAGAACCTGATTTAATTGTAAGACTGAAACCGTCAACTTTTGATTGATTGGCTTCCACTGTATCGTTTAACAGATATTGATGCTAAAGTGGACTACTTTAATTCCAAAATCATTAATCTCTATGATAAACATGCCCCACTTAGGCAACGCAGGATGAGGCACCCGCCTGCACCTTGGCTGAGTGATGAGATAAGATCTCTTATGCGACTGCGTAACCGTGTAAAGTCCGTAGTTAAACGTACACCCTCTAGTGCTAATCGGGAAAATTATCGAATTTTACGCAATCAT